CAATCATTCAGTAGTTGTGCAACTTCATTTCCAAATTCTGATTGGTTCACCACAGTTATAACGCGTTGATAAAACTGCCCATGTGTGATGCTGAAACACAGAAATTATTTGCTTGAAATCCCTAACTTTGTGACGTTTTAGCATGTTTTAGCTCCTTATGCATTGTCAGATATGTTGCTGGTTGAAATCACATTTTTGCATTGAATAGAAGCGTAAAACTTTTTTTTTCACAACTTTAATTTTGTTGGTTCAAGACCGCAAGTCTAGTTGATTGAAACATCTGAACTTCTGTTGCTTGAGGTTTAAAAGCCCTAAGTTTGCTGGCTCAACACCCCAATATTTGCCGGACTCCCGCCCAGATTTTGTTGATAGAAACAGTTTTTTGCTTGACAAATCAACAAGTCTGTTGATTGAAGTTCCCCATTTTGTTTGTGGCTGAACTCCTCACTTCAAGCGCAAAGCGCAAAGCATGGGCTGTGTAGGAAGCACCCCTGCTGCGGTGTCAGATGTTTTCCAAAGCATAAGACGATATTTGCACGGGGCTGATGCAGACAATGACTACCTATAGCATCAAAGATTCTTCAATGTGGGCCCCAAAACATTATAATTAATTTGGTTTATAACCACATTTAACTATAGTTTTAATATAAGTATCATGAACCATAGTTATTGGAGGTATGATCCAACTTAGCTAATTATCTTGGAGGCCCCACATTGTACAGATGGAGTTTAGGATGCAAAACAATGGCTGAATTGAAAGGATGCAAGTTCCGCTCCACCAGCGATGGCCAAAACCAGAGGGTAGGATGGAGAAGGTTAATGGTGGTCACCAACATCCATGGTGCAGTCTGGCTCAAGATCCGTGGGAAGAACTAGTAGGGGGGTTCTATTTTTATGGAGGTGCCCAATAGCTGGATGGTTTCTACTGGAACATGTCCTATATGAAGTGGACGATTTTGGGGATACCGCCATTTTAGGAAACCTCTAGTAGTTTTGAGCGTTGGCAAAATGTTGCAACTCAATGTAGCGTTGCCGAGTGGTCGCAGTGAGACATTTTCACTTCTGCAGTCCTCCAAAGTGGGGGACTTGAGGGTTCTGGCCCAGACATCATGTCACTGTGGCTTCTTGAGGCTTGTGACTGCAAATATTGATACGTTGGATCCTGGGGAGTCTCTGCAAGCTGCAGGACTTCAAGACGAGGACCCATCTGACAGCCATTGCCATACCAGCAAAGGTAGCAGCAACAGATCAAGCTATCGCATTGTGGTGCTGTGGAGGCCACAGGGTTGTGACTTGGGGCGATCCTGACCGTGGTGGTGACAGCTCTGAAGTCAAAGATCAGCTCAAGGGTGTCCAGCAGGTTCAGGCAAATTCCGCAGCATTTGCTGCGATTCTTGCAGATGGATCGGTTGTGACTTGGGGCAATCCTGACTGTGGTGGTGACAGCTCTGAAGTCAAAGATCAGCTCAAGGGTGTCCAGCAGGTTCACGCAAATTACGCAGCATTTGCTGCGATTCTTGCAGATGGATCGGTTGTGACTTGGGGCCATCCTGACTATGGTGGTGACAGCTCTGAAGTCAAAGATCAGCTCAAGGGTGTCCAGCAGGTTCACGCAACTGGCAGAGCATTTGTTGCGATTCTTGCAGATGGATCGGTTGTGACTTGGGGCAGCTCTGGAGTCAAAGATCAGCTCAAGGGTGTCCAGCAGGTTCACGCAACTGGCGGAGCATTTGCTGCGATTCTTGCAGATGGATCGGTTGTGACTTGGGGCGATCCTCACTGTGGTGGTGACAGCTCTGGAGTCAAAGATCAGCTCAAGGGTGTCCAGCAGGTTCACGCAACTGGCGGAGCATTTGCTGCGATTCTTGCAGATGGATCGGTTGTGACTTGGGGCGATCCTGACTATGGTGGTGACAGCTCTGAAGTCAAAGATCAGCTCAAGGGTTTCCAGCAGGTTCACGCAAATTCCGCAGCATTTGCTGCGATTCTTGCAGATGGATCGATTGTGACTTGGGGCCATCCTGACTATGGTGGTGACAGCTCTGAAGTCAAAGATCAGCTCAAGGGTGTCCAGCAGGTTCACGCAGCTAAGTTTGCATTTGTTGCCATCCTGATGGATGGCTCGATTGTGACTTGGTGCGGTCCAAGTTCTCGTATTGACAGATCTGCAATTGCAGCTCAGGTTGCAATATTTTAGCAAGGTCTGCCAGAATTGCCAACAAAATTTGCTGTTTGAAAAGGCCAGGGAGCACCACGTTGCAAGGAGACACTCTCAAACCACAATTAACATGCTTCATGTCTCTCTACATGCTTTGTTGTCCTTGGCCTAATGATAATGCTTCCCATGATTATGTGGAATTATGTGCGATTGGGGGTTTCCTGAAATAGGGCTAACCCATGGTAACCCCTTAAGTCATCCATAAAAATAGCTGACATGTTCCATTACAAATCATACAGTTATGGCCATTTACCAGTTATAACTGGTTATTTCTATGGGATTATACATTCTATAAATGGGGTTTTCTTAGTACTTATAACTAATAAATGGCCATAACTGGGGGTACCACATGCTACCACCAGTTCTTCGGCATCCCTTTTTAGCCCATAAGGTTGTGACTGCAACCTTGTCGAAGCCCCATTGGAATGTAGGGTACCTCCAGGAGGTTTTACCCTATTGAGTCATATTGCTGGTCATATTGCTGATTAAAAACACCTCTTATTAAAAAAACTATATAAATTGTGGTTATCATAGTTGGTCATATTGCTAGTCATATTGCTGGTCAATCAATATCATATCACATTAATCTATATAAACTATACTTTGAGGGATAAATTTCTATGTTTCATCCATATGAAAGATGTACATATATATGGGTCAAAGATGATCAATCCACCAAACTCTATAATGAAAAACAACCCATATACTTACAGATATAACTAAGCCGTGTAATTAGTCTATATAGCCCATAAAACCCATAGAATCCAATCATTCAGTAGTTGCGCAACTTCATTTCCAAATTCTGATTGGTTCACCACAGTTAGATCCTTGCTTTTGCTCCTTACACCCAGCAGTGATGTGTCAAAATGACCACAGTTATGGCCCGAAATACCAGTTATAAGTCAATAAGTCAACCTCATAAAAATAACCAGAAAAAACCAATCATGAATCACTATTCACCATGAATAATTACCATTAACCACCAGCAATCACCATTAGTCACTATACAAAAACCTGAAAAAATTCAGCTTTGAACTGCAGCGGCTCCAGGCGTGGCACTCGAAGCTCATGGTTTTTGCACCACAGGAGACAGCGACGGCTGTTCGACGGCTGGATCTCCCTGGTAAACGTGGCAAATCCATGCAAATCCCCTAGAAAGTATGAGAAAAATCATGGGAACATCTGAATAAATGGAGGTTTATAGCTGGGAAAATCATCCATAGATGGGCAAGTTTCGAGCAAGCCATGTTTGATTGCTGGGCTGCTGGACGGTAGTCATGTAAATCCCAAAACTTATAAAATGGAATGTTTACCCTCTGATAAAATCACGTAGTTGTGGAACATGAATGGAAAATCACTTGTTTATAGGTAAATCATCTATAAATGGCCTAGTTAGTGTCCATAACTATTTAGTTTACTGGAGGGTTGCTGAGCCAGTGGGGATAAATAAAAAATGAACATGTTACTAGCCAAAGGTGACATCCTTGGTCAAGAAGGACATATATTCTTGTCATGTACTTAACGGCAATTGTGTTGGTATTCATAGATTCCAGACACAATCAAGCGTGTTTTCTTTAACCATCCCAATCTTCTTCAAGTTTTGATGGTGATATTTCCATCCCTGTGATGATTGCTCTAAGTTGGGATCTATGTAACTCCAATAACTGTGGGGTTCTGGTAGATCTATTGAGCTTGTTGATGGGGGTTGTAATCCAGCAAACATCACTGAGCTTACTTCATCATTGCTTATTAACTCCCATAAACAATCCATGTTGATGGTCAGTTTAAGGCTTCAACATGCTTCAACCACCACTGAACTCACCATGAAAACCCTGGTTTCACCTGGGGAGCACATGGGGGATGATGAACGATTCGGTATGGATTTTTATCTGCGGGAAAATGCTGGTCTACAGGGATGAATAGGGATAGAAAACTTGATTTATACAATGTGGGGCCCCCCAGTTATAAGTTGGTTTATAAACCCCATGAATACTATAGTTATTTGCGTACAATAAACCATAGTGAAATTGGAGTTATGTGAACCCCAACTTAGCGATTTCGTTTACGGGGGCCCCACATTGTAGGGATAGAAAACCAAGATAAACCAAGATAGATATGAGCTATGGTCAATACTCATGGTTAATAACCATTAATAGGGGCTAGTCATCCAGTGGCTTATAGGGATTTATCATAACCATTATAAGGATCCTTGTTATGGATGGGATGACCATCAACCATATAGTGAGTATTGACCATGGCTCATATGGAAAACCCTCAGCAAGTCAGTCCGGAATCACAAACTCCGAGGTGGCAGCCAACCACCACGGATTTCCATCTGAAAAGTGACGAACTCGTGAGCAACGAAAGGTATAGATTTGTTTTGTTTAAGGTCCACCTCCTGAGGGTCCTGATAGCATGTGATGGGTTGAAACATGTTGAAACCACCAACCATGGAATCTCATTTGGCTGTGGAAAGGTATGAAAGGTTCCCAATGTTGGTTGAAACAGACCTGAAAAAATAGCTATTGACAGTTCAAGACCTGAGAAAACGCTGAGTCTACAGAGTTCTTTCATTGGCCCCGATCATAATGTTTGAGGTGGCATTTTCAAAACCACAAACCAGGTTTCATCCACGTTTTTTGTTCTACCATTTGGTTATTTAACAGTTCGCCATGGAAAGATCCACCATTTTTAAGAACTGTAAGCCATCTATGGGCCATCTATACCATGGCTATGTTAGTCATAACCAGAGCGAAACGATTTTTTTTATGGGTTTTCCTTCATGGCCTCGCACGATTGCATGGCGCATTTGTGGATCCCGCCACAGGACACAGCCGCCATGGCCGAAAAACCCGCCGCTCCCCTGGTGCTGCTGCTGGCACCCGGTGATCGCGCGGCGGCGGTGCGGGAGACGTTGATGTCGTTGAAGTCATTGAGGTGTCAGGGTGGGTGGGTGGCTGGGTTATGTGAAGGAAACCAGCTGTGTAAACCGACTGGGGCAACTTAAAGCATCCACTTTGTATTCACTGTTGCACTTTAAGATACTTTTGATTGGAACATGTGCCTGAGGGTATTAAGATTGGGTATGTTATCACTGCTTGGATCAATGACTTTAAGACTACCCCATTTAAGCGACTGCCGGTTTATTCTAGGTGGGGTGTTATATTATGGTGTCATGGACTTTCGAAATAGAACCTGATGGTGCCGAGGTTGGGGACCCGTGCAAAAATCCAGAAGCAAGGGTTCCTGCAGTTAAAGCCCTTGAGCAGTTATACATGGTTAATATATACCAGTTGTGGTCATAAATGGGATCGTCATTCTATAAATGGGATTGTACCTGACCTATAACTATAACATTTAACTAACAAAGAGCCTAGTCGTAGGAATGGAAATGGCAATATCTTCGTCCGGTTGGAAGCAATCGTTTGCGGCGCCGGCGAAGGTGCCTAACATTTCTGGCCTCGAGCTGTTGAACCTATAAAACCAATGATAATTACTGTACTATATATAATAATATAATATATATATACATTATATACGCAGATATAGCCACTAAGTCCAAAGTCCTATCCGGGATAGGGACTTTACCTTAAGACAGACCTAGGAAAGCCGCAACAAATCTATAAGGACCACGCATATAATAGCCTTAAAACTGCATGTTTTTGAGATTCTTGTGCCATGTTTTTGGAGTATCAAAGTGTTTTTTTATGTTTTTGTTGGGGGATCCCACATGTTTGCCGTAGCAGCAAAAATGACATCAGCCCCACAGATAGGCCGGTCCAGGGATGGATAGGTCGTTCTACGGTGTTATTCAGTGTGCATCAATACCCATGACGGATCCATGGTGCTGCCATATTAATGGTAACATGGATCCCATCAATATACCCCAGTCATGTTAGCATATATACCATACGACCATACATGGATCCGTCATGGGATATATCTTTTATTCTCGATTGTTTCTCTTCATGAAGTGATGTGAACATAGTGCACAAAATGATATGTCTCTTGGCTGTGCACATCTTGAAGCCCTGCAGCACTCTTCCCTGGAGTCGGATAGGTCCCAGGACTTCCAGGAATAGGTCTTTCTTCAAAGACCTATCCAGAATAGGTCTTGGACACGCAGGATATATATATATATACACCTATACATATACAATGTAGGGCCCCCTAGTTATAAACTGGTTATGAAGTGGATAAAACCTCATGAATACTATATAGTATTTATTGTATCGCAAACCATAGTGAAATTGGAGGTATGTTCACCAACTGAGAGGTAACCACTGTTCATCACCATTGATCTACCGTCAAAAACACTATTAATCACCATTATAACCACTATGAAAATAACTATAGTAACCAATATCAATCACTATTTATCACCATTAACCACTATGAATCACAACCATTATTAGCCACTATCACCATTAATCATCTTGATAGTGGCTATTGTCACTATCAACTAACCACAACCATTAATCATTACCACTATCAACCACTTAATCACCATTACCACTAATCACCATTAATCACCATTAACATTCATTAACATCCATTAACAATCATTAACCATCGTTTTGATACCAATCACCTTGGGTTTTCTAAGTATCATAATAGCCATTAATCTTTACTATACCATTATACTAACCCCTATTAACCACTACTATTAACCACTGTGAATTGCCATTACTCACGATGAATCATGGCCAGGCTTCATCCACTATCATCCACTATCATCCACTATCATCCACTATTAACCACTATTAACCACTGTGAATTGCCATTAACCACCTTTTTTTTTGCGCCAGGAACTTTGATGACCGGACCTTGCTGATCTCCTTGGGCTGTTGCGGCGCCGAGGCCGTAAGGGGTGCGGGCGTTTTTACGTTTTTGGTGACATGGAAAAATCATGGGAAAATCATGGGAAAATCCATAGTTAATGGATATCAATGGTGATTTCATGGGATTGTTTGTTAATGGAAGTTAACTTGAAGAATATCTGGGTATGATTATAACGACCTCACTGTGACCTCACTGGAAGAGTGGCGATGTAAGGGGAATTATCCCAATATAAAGCCTTATCTCAGGTTCGTGAATTATTAGAATTTACCCAGATGAGTTCGAGTAAAGATAATTGCAAGGTGGTGCCCCCAGTTATAATTGGTGAAATAAGCCTATTAACTACAGTAGTTCGATATATCACGAACAAAAACCATAGTTGGAGTTATGTTCACCAACTATAGATATATCTAAATGAATACTAGTTCGATATATCACCTACCTATAAACCAACTCGTGAGTTATTGGAGTTATTAGTTCACCCCAACAAACAGCTAGCGTTCGAACGTAAACCCACGGGGGCACCACCTTGTGGGAACAGCTAGAACAGAATTGGATGTCCATCATTGGAGAAACAGCTACCCGGCCTGGTAAACGTTAACAAAAAGCTATGGAAAGATCCACCATTTTTAAGTTCGGTAAATCAACGATTTCTATGGGCAAGACTTCCATTGCTATTTTGTTAAATAACCAGATAAACATCTGAAAGTCCACAGATGTTTTTCGAAGATGCACACAGTCAGTGTGGTATTGTCAGAATGGGTGGATTACACGTCCACCCAGAACTTGAGGCGGACCACCTCGTTTTTAGATCCATGGAATTCTTAGGGGTTATGATCGTTACCCTCTGGTAAACTATAACATAAGTATAGAAAAAAACACCAGTTTTTTTTTCCATTTCCCATAGCAAACTGTTACTTTACGGGGAGGATACGGGTCAGTATACCTGTCAAACACATCAGGTTTGTGTTTTTTTTTTTTTACGGGCATTTTTTTCCTAGAAATACTTGGAGGATCATTACGCTTAGTACACCTTAGTGGTTAAGAACCATTCTTAGTGGTTAGTTTTCATAAGTCCCCAAGGTTATCCCATGTGTAAGTGGCGCTCGGTAAATTGATGGCTTGTGCGGCTTGTAGCTTCTAAAGAATCGACTTATAACTCTGGGGTTTTAACCACTTAGATGTGTTTCTAGAGATATATTTTTTCGACTTTGGAACATTTGATATATGATATTTTCCGTTTGCCGCTAATAGCCTCTAATAAGCCACAAATAGATATCGTAATGATTGCAGAAACCTCCCCAGGTTTTGCATATAACTTAGATGTGTTTCTAGAGACCACCAAAGCCTGGGATTTCTAAAATTGTAATTGTCCAATTTTTCCTATGCTTCGTGTTTGAACTTGGGGCCCCAAGGTTTACTTTCGAGCCTGGAACAGCGTTTCATACTTTGCCCACGTTCTGTGGACATCGGTTTTCTAGGTCCAAGAGCCTCCAAGATCCCTCAAGAAGTGTAGGTGATTTATTGGATACCTACGATACCTAAAACTCAAAGTCAATGATACCCTGATAGCAGTTTTCAAGTATCAATGATACGCTGATACAAGTATCCAAGTATCGATGATACTGCAAACAGAGTACCCAAACAAACGCCAAGCATTGCTGCAACCAGTATCAACTTCAACCATTGCTGTAATAGGAATAGGATTTGCCATATTGTTGAGGATATATCACATAGATACAAGCAAATACACATATTATATGGGAGGCACTGACAGCAAAATACTGATTGATGTGAACTACACCGAAGAATCTGGGGGTTTCCATAGTCATGGGGGTCCCCTGGATGGTTAGGGAAAATCCTAGCTATAAATGGATGGTAACTGGGGGTACCCCTATGACGAATCGGAAACCCCCATCTGGTTGGCATCAGCCAGGTGTGTCTGAAGACAGCGCCACATGTTTGCTCCGCAGATCTCAAATCCGAGACCAGTTGCGAAGCTCATGTCACAACAGACCCAAGTGCAGTTCAAGTGACATATCTGGAGGTTTCCTAAAATAGAGCTATTAATACCGTTAATACCCTCAAATCATCCATTTATAGCTAGGATTGTCCATGAAATAAATCATCCAATATTGGGGTACCCCCATGACTATTGAAACCCCCCAATATCTCTTGAATGCCCCACTTTTGGTGGCAGATTCTCCCACCAGTCGAAATCGCGAAATCCGTAAAAACCCGCAAACTGAGACAACGCAGCCCGGATCCGGAAATGTCCACGGTACTTCCCCAAGTTTGGTGATAGTTTAATGAACACATTACCCTCTGGTAATTTAACGTGGCTATTGAAAATCACCATTTTTAATGGGAAAATCCACTATTTCTATGGTCATTTTCAATAGCTATGTTAAATTACCAGAGGGTAAGAGTACAGTTGGTTTCCTTTATTCCTTTGCTTTCATCCGGTATTTTTTTTAAACCTCCATTGCTGACGCTCACATCCAAGAGTTGCATGGTGGGACATTTTACAAGAACCTTCCTCTACAACCACTGAACCACTGGTAAAAACCAGCCAGTTTCAGGCTAAGATTTCCAAAAACAATCCATGATTCAGTTTCAGGTTAACCACCATGGTTTTTCGTGGTTAAGCTACCACAGCTTAGATAACTTGGAAGACGTTCACTTGGATCAGCTGGCCATGGACGTGCAGCTGCAAAGATTCAGCTGCTGAAAATCGCGATGCAGGCGTTTTTCGTTGTGGGAGCCAGGGATGGGGCGATGGGGCAGATTTTCATACGACTCCCCTATTTTTTGTTGGTAAAGCAATAGTAAAACATACACCGAAATTTACCATACATGGTATCAAAACCTGATGGTTGATATAAGAAATAATATTATTCTTGCCATACTACGTTGGCAGCAAATGAAACTTAGAATGGCGTTCGGGTTTCCAAACATTAATCAGCTTTTTTACAGCAGTTTTAGTAAAGCAATAGTAAACCATCCCCCATTTTACCATACATGAGTGGTCCATCACAATAAGAGTGGTTTATATTGGTTTATGACATTGCTTTACTAACTTTAACAAATCATAATTTACCCAGACTAGTCATTCCATCACAGATTCATTATTATTGTTATCATTACTGTTCATTGGTTCATTACTATCACTATACTTATTATAATCATTCTTATTATCATCATTCATTATTATTAATAGTAGAAGCAGCAATAGTAGTAATAGACCATTTAGAGTCTGGGCGAACGGCGGCGCCTGAGCCTAAATAGTACTAACATTTACTAACCAGTAACTAGTATCACACTAGTATACCATACTAAAGTTCTTATATATGATTTTTCCTTGAAAAACAACCTACTTATCTAGACCCTACTGATCTAGGGCTGGTTTTTGATTCCCTGATATTTTATCCAACCCATTTTTTCATCGTTTCACTCATCGCTTCACTCATCGCTTTCAGGCCTCAGTGGTCGCGGTGATGGTGGCCCCCTTGGCCGCCCTGTGGGAGGTCTCAGAAGGATGCAGCGCGCGGTTTTGGTTTTGGGAACAACTCAACTTGGTGACAGCATGGTTCAACCATTACCCTCTGGTTATGACTAACATAGCCATTGAAGCCATGGCCCATAGAAATAGATGGTTTACCTATTAATAGCATGGTGATTTTCCATGGCTATGTTAAATAACCAGCTGGTATATCAACCATCACAAATTATCGGGATTGTTAGGAATAATATAAACTTCTTATGAATATTAACATCCTTAACCATCTATATTTATTAACATTTTTTTTGAAGCATAAAATATAGAGATTCTTAGGAATTGTACCATCATTGACCATGAAAGGAAAGGAAAATCATGGGGATATAGGGGAACAATGATTCATCAACCAGATGGACGGTGACCGTGGTAGCAAAACCAAGACCTCCAACCTGCAGGATGGTGCCCCCGTTTACGTGATGTGAATGTTGGTTGAAAAAAAAACATGAATACTATAGTTTTGATATCTACCATAAAATTATATATATATATATATCATACAATGTGAGGCCCCCCAGTTATAAGTTGGTTTAGATTCGCCCCAGTAACTATTGTTATTTGCGTACCATAAACCATAGTGAAATTGGAGTTATGTTCACCAACTTAGCCATCTTGGGGGCCTCACATTGTAGTTATATCTACCATAAACCATAGTTGAGGTAGTTTTTCAAGCAACTGAACGCGAACTCGAACGGGGGCACCATCCTCTAGGAGTTGGGGATTGTCGAACTTTGAGATCCCGAAAGTTTTGGCTTTTTCCCTCCAGTAATGACCTACAAAAAACTATGGAACATCAGCATTTTCAATAGCAAACAGTTAGTGACTAACTGTTTGCTATTGAAAATGATGATGTTCCATAGTTTTTTGTAGGTTTACCAGATCCAAAAATCTACCTATTGACAAGCTCGTGATGTTCCAGTTCGCTAAAGATAGTGACATCCAGAGGCTAATTAGGGTTGATAGTGAAAATGGCCATTGATAGTGCAACTATACTTGGTGGCTCATCCCACTTAGTAAGTGGGTTGGTTATAACCCCAGTTTTTTGAGTGGATTAACCTTACTTATCCCATTTATAACTGGGGTTATGACCCACTTACTAAGTGGGATGAGCCACCAAGTATAGTTGATTTACCGATTAAAGATGGCAGATGGTGATTGTTCATAGCAAACTGTCAGTTTACCAGGGGGTAGATCTTGTGTTTCTTATAGTTACTGGTTGGTGGTTTGGAACATTCTTTATTTTTCCATTCAGTTGGGAATGTCATCATCCCAAGTGACTACTATTTTTCAGAGGGGTAGGTATACCACCAACCAGATATAGTTGATTTATGTTGATTTACCATGATTTACCCATTAAAAATGGTGATTTTCCCTAGGTTTTTGTAGGTTTACCAGAGGGTACAGAGGTTATTTTGGCTTCACGCCACCTGGAGGTTCTTGGAGCTGTTTCGTCCAACGATGGAGGTACCTACCATATATAAGGCCTATGTAAGGCCTAGATTTCCGGAAATATCCCCACAAAATATGGCTTTATATGGTACAGTACCTTCATTTTAGGATCCTGGAATTCCCTTTGAAAAAACGATGGAAAGATCCAAAAACATCAAGTGTCATCATCAAACATGATGGAACAATGGTGGTTACCCTCTGGTAAACGTTAACAAAAAACGATGGAAAGATCCACCATTTTGTAGCTGGGTAAATCAACTATTTCGACTGGGCCATTCTCAATAGCTGTTTGTATGTTTACCAGAGGGTAAACTATGCGACATGATGTGTTAACAATATGAGCAAAGACCTCAAAGGTTCATGTAGAAACCTTTACATGAAAGGTCATATGGTGGAAAATGTTGCCCAAACCATGGAGCTTGCGATATGGTGAACTACCTAAAGCGATAACGTGATTTGGTTTCAGCATCTTTCAGTACTATATGATGGCTTAGTTTTTATTGTTGCTGCACTAGTTGTTTGATACTGTACGTCTCTAGTCTTTTTGTGAATAATTCTATGGGAATTTCAGGATCCTAAAATGGAGGTACCTACCATATATAAGGCCGAAAAATAAGGCCTAGATTTCAGGGGATATCCCCCAAAAATATGGCCAAACATATGACTTATATGGTACTAACGTACCTCCATTTTAGGATCCTGAAGATCTCCCATTGAATAATTATCCCATCATTTATTGTTTCGCGCCGTTGGTCATGGTCCATAATGGTCCCATGGAACTGGCCCATGTCTATTCTCGAGTTCGGAAAATGGAGTGAAGAGCAAAACACACGTTTTGGAGGATCACACTATTTAGGAACTGATGAATAACCCTAGTTTTAATATGTTTTAATTCATTTATACTTATAAGTAAGTGATAATATATATATATATACTGTATATGTAATCAGTGGCCCAGGGGCCTCTAACTTTTAGTGGCCTCCATAGCTGGGTTTTTCCCCAGCGGATTCAACCAAGGCTCTTACCAGTGGGTGGGTAGCTGCAGAAAAATGGCCAGAAATACCAGTTATAACCAGTTAGAAAAGCCCATAGAAATAGAATGTATTTTATCCCATAGAAATAACCAGTTATAACTGGTTTTCATGGCCATCACTGTGAATACTGTACTCGTGACTTTTTTGTTTACTAGATACCCTCCGGCAATCAAACATAGCAATGCAACATCCACCATTTACTTGCTGGTGCTTAGGGAATGGATGGGAATGGGGGAATGGGATGATTATTAATAGTTATTGTGGATCATTCCCTTATTCCCTGCTAAGCACCAGTAAGTTTAGTGCGGGGGTTTCCGATTGCCATGTTATCTACGATCTGCCATGAAATGAGACAAAGATGCGACATGAACTTGATGGCTTGTAGGTGTGTTTAGTACAACTTTGGAGATTCCTGGCCAACAAGATTAACATCATTGGCCCATACTATTTATAGATACTATGATCCAACATAGTATGAACAGACACTGTCGATTTCCGATGAATAGAGTTATGGCCATTTATATACCAGTTTTTTCACTGGTTATAAATCTCTGGGATTACAGTGAATACATTCTATTTCTATGGGCTTTTCAAACAGTACTTATAACTAATGTCGCCATGGCCAGACTTTCTGTCGACTTTCTGGCCAGATCTCCAATGTCAGCAGTGGCCCAGCAATGATCCAATGATCCCATGATAAATGCAGGGCAGTTCACCGGTGGGGATTCATCAACAATGATGCTCTTCAACCATTTCAACACAGTTATATGGCCATGAAAACCAGTTATAACTGGTTATATCTATGGGATAAAATACATGCTATTTCTATGGGTTTTTCTTACTGGTTATAACTTGTATTTCTGGCAATTTTTCTGCATGATTTCAAGAATTTCAACATCCCCACTTTTTTTGTCCCAGGATTTCAACATACGGTGGGCCAGCGAAATCCAATAAACCACCACCCATTTTGGATGGATGAAACATGTTGAAAAGCCAAGAAAATCATGGGATAAACCACCTTGGATTGGATGGTTGAAAGCCGCCAAGAAAATAACTATGGAAAGATCCACCATTTTTCATGGGACACATCGCTAGAAATTGTGATTTTCCATAGTTATTTTGACATAACCAGAGGGTAAATAACGGGATAAACCACTTATCAACTGGTGATTCGGATTTCGCTGGCCCATCCACAGTATCTTTGATATGTCTTCACAGTTGGGTAGCATCACTTTGTACAGATCACAGAAATCGCCCCAAGGCTATTGTTCGCTGCCGACAGCTTTCCCTGGATCAAAGTAGAAACCTATGAGGCTTGGTCGTTTTTAGGATGGAAACAGAGTGGTGAAACATCCTGGCGTAACCATGAAACATCATTGAACAGATGTTTTTAATACCCTCTGGTAAACTAACATAGCTATTAAAAATGGCCATAGAAATAGTGGATTTTCCCATTCAAAATGGTGATTTTCCATAGTTATGTTAAATTACCAGAGGTTTTAAATATATTGTGCCATGGTCAAAACGTGCTTGTATATGCTTGTATCAGCTCTTTTGTTGAAGGATTAACATATCCAGAGGGCATTCCTTGATGGATTTGTTTTGCTGTGGAAACAATCACTGTTCAACTGATTGGTTTCAACATGGCGCCCCACAGGATTTGCCTGGCAGCCATCTAGGTAGTCTATATCTGCCATAAACTATGTTGCAAAGTTAGGTCTGTTTACCAACTTACCATCTTACCATATCTTACCCGTTTTACCCATTTCTCATTTGGAACATGAAAATAGGTTTTTTGCCGCAAAAAATCCCATGGTTTTGGGTTCCATGTGTTTCCCATTGGCCAAGCAGAAGCGGTTCCTGGCCGCGAAGCGGCCATTTTTTGTTAGACTTTTAACCACGGGGAGCTGGGAACCAACCCGAAAAAATGATTGAATACCCTCTGGTTATGTCAAAATAGCTATTGAAAATTGCTATTTATAGTGGATTTTCCCATTAACAATTGTGATTTTCCATAGTTATGTTAGTTTACCAGAGGGTAACAGTTCCTTTCTCATGATTGTTGGTATTGGTTTCCTTCAAACAAAAACGATTGAATACCTGTTCTTTTAACATGAGAAAACTGGGGGGGGGCTCTAAGATCCCATATTCCATGTAGCTACTATCTTCACACTAATGTGGGTAAAACAAGGATAAACCATCCCCCAAATCACCATAAACAGGTCGTATAAACCATTCCCAAATGGGTGGTTTATTATTGTTTTTACCCACATTACCCAAATACTATACGTATACTCTGGCTGGTGGTTTCAAACCTTTTTTTTCCATAATATATTGGGATGTCATCCTTCCCATTGACGAACTCATATTTTTCAAGATGGTTAAAACCACCAACCAGATATCCATCATCATTATCCATCATAACTATGGAAAATCACAATTTTCAATGGGGTTATACTACCAGTTATATGGGGTTATACTACACATTACCCAAATACTATATGGTTAAAACTCATATTTTTCAATATGGTTAAAACCACCAACCAGATATACATAACTCTAGCATGATATTGATAATTATGATGGTAATTACTATAAGAATACTGATAACCAGTGAATATCCAAAATAAACCATCGGAATAGCCGTGCCGAAAAGCAGGCCACGAGCACGTCTCTCCGAGCGCATTTTACGCTGGCCGAGGGATGCATGCGTTCCGTGGTTGGTCGATGTCGGGTGGTGGCGCAAACTGGGGGATTCCGATGGTTAATGGTGGTTAATGGTGGTTAATGGTGGTTAATAGTCTATTAATAATAGTGATTAATAATGGTTAATGTTGGTTCATAGTGATTAATAATGGTTAATTTATTAATGATGTTATTCTGGTTGGTGGTTTACAGTGTCTGGCCCTTTATTATTTAGAAGTACTAACAAAACCCCATAGAAATAGAATGTATAATCCCAGAGAAATAACATGAAATCACCAGTTATAAGTAATAAATGGCCTTAACTGTAGGAATGTGAGACAATCAATACAACTGGTTGGTGGTTTCAAACATTTTTTATTTTCCATTTCATATATGGGATAATCCTTCCCATTGACGAACTCATATTTTTCAAGATGGTTAAAACATGTTAAAACCACCAACCAGACAAGCTCGTGCCCCATGGCTAGCAAAGTTACCCTACGGAATCCAAAGACTTTCTGAGAAGGTACTTAAGCCCCCAAATCATAGCCCAAATACTTCCTGAGAAGCTACCTGGATCCATAGGCTTAGTAAACATATTATATACCTCCAAAAACTCTTGGGTTTCTGGTTCGTTGTTTTTGAACTAGTTGCTAGGGTCTATGAACTTATTAACTTATAACCAAGGGGGCACCACCTTATAAGATATGAAAATTCGATGAAGGGAATCGGATTTTTCACAAAACAAAATAAGAATGATCCCGTCCCTCTCTGAAACACCCACCATTCTATGGTGCCAAATATGTGGTTTCATCCCCACCATGTCTTCTAGGGGGGTTGAATATTAGGGGAACCCCGGGGGAAGGGATACAATGGGGATATAGTTTGAGAACACGGGATATAATTCGATGATATATACCAAGTGTAGTTTAATGATTATTTTGGCATATTTTGGCAGTTTAAAACCTTGCCATGACTTGGGTTGGAAGATCAGTTTTCCCCAAAAGGACAGATGAGTTCAGGCTCTATGTTACTTGTGGGAAGGGTACATCTTTGCGCGCAAAGTTTCTGTGCAAATTGCAATGATTCCGCCACAAAGCCGGTGAGTCAATCATCACGATTTTGCCAGATGAATTTTGTTGCTAACACATCTGGGTATGGGTCAATACCTATAGATACATTTTTAGTGGGATGAACATCCATTTACCATCATTTACCAGCTATTTTGGGGTTCACTAGGTACCAGGGTTTTGACCCATCCCCATCTGATATATATATATATATACTGTAAGGGATACAAGGCACCGACCCCCATCAGTAACCATCAGTAACTACTTCTATACTAATGATATGTGGAATAGAACCCCTTTGTACATTACTAACGAATTACAAGACTAAATATACAGTATATATATATATATCCCCCACTATCCATCAGGAATGTAAACTATTCACTATAAAGGATATGATCGGTTGGTATCTAGGTTGTTTATTCCTTTTAGTTCTGAACACTTACGAATCCATGGTTTTTCACGCTGGGTCGGAAGAAATATGAATACATGTCCAGTATGATCAGAGAGATGACGCTTTGGAAGTGCTGGAGCCCGCCACTGCGTTGCCGTAGCGGGTGGGTCAAGGGCCCTGGAACGCTCATGGGAGAGGTCAAGGATGCAGACATCCCAGCAGCACCGCCGATCTCGTGGCTTCGAAACCAACCGTTACGGCACTTTGGTACGGAACCCCCAAGCGTTCACAGTTGCCAAAAGGCAGCCCGAAGCACTTCGCTCAAAGAAATTGGAGTTGTATCAATTCAGCCTTGGGTACTAGCTCAATCTTACATGGATACTTTAATCCTTTAGTCTTTTGGTATTAATGGGAATATCTACTAACCAGCAAAGAAATCCATTTTTTGCAGGGTATCTAAGATTGGCAATGGGTAGCCAATTTTCTTCGAGGGATTCAGTCAGATTTTGTATCATTTTACTCCAATCAAGTCAGGCCTGATGCTCCAGGGTCGCCAACCCCAATCAAGCCTGAAAATAGGGTACCTCCAAAAATACCATGCATTGTTGTTATTTTCCCTAGTAAATGATAGTAAATGTTTGTAGTTGGCTGGGCGCGCGCAGAAGGCCGCGTCACGAAACAGTGTTTTTGCTAGTTCACTGCACTGGCGCCACAGCGAGAGCGCACTTTTTCCTTTTTTTTTGTGTTTCGCCTCAGTGAAACCTCTTTTTTTGTTGTTTTTTTGGCGTGGTGTTGGTTGGGGGGTGGGGGTTGGGGGGGGTGGGGGGGTGTAATAACGTTCTTTGGACTTGAACACATCTGGGATGGTACGTCATGAGATCTTTTCTTGGAATTCAACACATCTGGGATGGTACGTCATGAGATTTTTTCTTGGAATTCAACACATCTGGGATGGTACGTCATGAGATCTTTTCTTGGAATTCAACACATCTGGGATGGTACGTCATGAGATTTTTTCTTGGAATTCAACACATCTGGGATGGTACATCATGAGATCTTTTCTTGGAATTCAACACATCTGGGATGGTACGTCATGAGATCCCCCCCCCTTTAACCCTGGAATATTTGGGGGGGGGTAAGGCAAGAAATTTCTGAGAAATATTTCACCTGACCACATGAAATATACCTCCCCCACATGTTTTTGGGGCTTCCAAAAGATGTGGGGGGGGGGGTCCTCCGGATGCAACATTTTAGCCCAGAGATGGTATGGCACACCCTTTCATTTTGAACATACATACATACATACATACATACATACATACATACATAGGAGACGGATGTGACCCAAGAGATCTGACCCCTATCCATTTGGCATATGTGTCCTGACATGTATACCCTCTCTAAATCTCTCTAAATCACTCTAAATCACTCTAAGTCACTCTAAATCACTCTAAGTCACTCTAAATCACTCTTAACCATTCTCAGCCTCTGTGGGCCTTGGTTTTTGCAGTGAAATCCCTTGAAAATCGATCATTGCCATCACATGAATCTGGATTTTTGTTTAAGCTTATGTTTTGGGGCTCCCATGGTCTTCCCAAATTTCTTATCCTAAAGAGAGCAACCCACAGAAATTGAGACCAATGGGTCGCCACAAGATGCCACAAGAGCAATTCAAGTCTTGGAGTGGAAAGGGGTCAGATGCCTGAAACCTCGTAAATAACAGTGTTTGGGGCATGTGACCCCTATCCACTTATGGGGCGCCCCAAAATTGTCATGGGATGTGCCCACACAGCTCATGTCGGGTACCCAAAATGGGACTGGGGAGCTCCAGAAAAGTTTAGCAGCAGGGAGTGGGAAATGGGAGATTTCACTACATTCAAGGTTGTATCCCAGGACTTGGGGGCTAAACCTCAAGTGGAAGGCGGTCACATGTAAGCTGTCACATCAGTTCCCTATGAATACATACATACATACATACATACATACATACATTCATATATATATATATATGTATATATATATACACACATACATGTACTTAAATACACATAATGTATGTATATATATATATATAATATTGGCACAAACATACTTACAGAAAAATGCAACGGTGAAATTTTTGAGGGGGGGTAGTTGCAAAACCATTGTATTTTACAGTTCTAGCAGGGTCCCCCCAAAAAAAATCCATTGCCAATGCTGGAGGAGCCCCTTCTTGTTTCCTACCCCTGCGGTAAATAAATAATTACAACAGCGAAATTTTTGAGGGGGGGTAGTTGCAAAACCATGGTATTTTACAGTTCTAGCAGGGTCCCCCCCCAAAAAAATCCATTGCCATACCTTTTTAGTCCTTACGCGGGTAGGGCCCACGCGCAAACCACACAACTAGGTAAATGGATGTAAATGGTAACTGCCAGTTTCCAAGAAAATAAATAAGAGAGTGAACTTGTCAAACAGCCTTCAGAGCTTGACGTTCAGCCTTGAATTCAACCAGGCCCTGGAGAGACCATTATAAACCAGAATTTTTTAGCTGAAATATTTCTAGGTGTGGGGGGGGGTGACCCCCCCCAAAGTGAAATATTTCAGTTTTTAACCCCCCCCACCCATGAGATCTTTTCTTGGAATTCAACACATCTGGGATGGTACGTCATGAGATCTTTTCTTGGAATTCAACACATCTGGGATGGTACGTCATGAGATCTTTTCTTGGAATTCAACACATTTTTTTCCTTGAATTTCCTGTTTTTTTGAAAACATAAAAAAGGAGATGACGCAACCTTGCATGAGCATGTGTCTTTAGAAGTGTTTCAATGGGCATGGAGAAACCATGCACTTTTGGGAAAGAATCCAAGCGAGGTTCTCGAGCAACTGTCTCGACTTTTTGCAGATTAAAGGTGGGTGAAAATAAAAGTCATGCACTGAAGTAAATACACCTGAAAGTGTCTCAACTGAAGTAGTTTTTTTCGACGTCAAAATATGACACGCCAAGATATGAACATGGACATGTGAAGTTGTACATGCATTTCGAATGGCCAGCGTGGAGGATTTGCCATAACACCATTCATACATTTGTGTCAAAACTGAGATGAAAGTGCACGAAACCATACGGCCATCTATGAGCGCCCGACCTTGTAGTTGGGATATACACCATTTTCAGTCACACCCATTTTCAGACACCATCTTGTTGAGGTGGGGGCTACCCTCCAGTAAACTAACATAACTATGGAACATCACAATTTGTAATAGGTCGATCAACATAATTCAACTATCAATGGCTGGTTGGTGGTTTGGAACATTTTCTATTTTCCATAATATATGGGATGTCATCCTTCCCATTGACGAACTCATATTTCTCAAGATGGTTAAACCCATCAACCCGATGGCCATTTTCACTAGCTATGTTAGTTTACCAGGGGGCACCTCTAAGAGCTGCGAAGTCAGCATCGATTGAGGTGTGCGCTTTCTTTCGGATGGACGTAGGCGGCAGGTGCGCCCATAGCTTAAGGGTTTGTTGGTTGAGCCGTGAACAACAACCTGTTTGTTTCAGGGGATTTAATTTAATGCAGTTAAAGCATGTTAAAGCCCTTTTTATCAGTTATAAATGTTTATACAATGTTATACATGATTTTAAATGGTTATAAATGGTTATAATTTGTTGTAATTGGGATTATCATTCCATAAATGTTTATAACATGTTATAACTTATTATATATAACTGACCTAAAATTGGTAAATGACCATAACTGTGAGGATTTAACAATCACTTGTGAAATTTCTACGGGATGTTGTATGATTTAGCCGGGTTTACGCTCTCTAACTCTAGCGAACCCTTGTCTTTGCTCGTGTTTGCCTGCGTTGCATGTTGGATTGCCAGCTGCCCACCACATGGAAGGTGATGTTTTGCCCTTCAAAACAGCCGCTGTGTCTGGGCTCTGCCGGTTTCTACGGTTGGTTTGAATTTCTTACTGGTGCTTGGTAGGGAATGGATGGGATGATTATTACTAGTCATTGTGGATCATTCCCTCAGTCCCTACCAAGCACCAGTAAGATTTTGTAGAGGCATCATCGATCCACTGACGTCTGGCGCTGGCTCCGCCTTCTGCCGTGGAGCCACGAGCCACGGAACGCGACGTATGACGGTTGACGGTTGACGTAAAGCTCACCAACTTCTTCGGAAGCGCAACAAGAAGGTTGAGATTTAATCGTTGTGTTGGCGCGAAATAGCCGTTTTCTTTCGTCAGTAAGTCACTCCATAAAAATGGAATGATCAGCCCATAAAAATAACCATTGATAACCATGTTTCACTGGTGGTTTCAACTGCATGTTGGTACCCATAGATCCCCTATATGCAGCTCAGAGTTGGGTCATAATGCCCGCTGTTTAGATAACCTGGCATTTGTAAGTACAGGATGGAGGCCCCCCAGTGATGTTTGTTGGTTTATAAACCATTACAACCTCCATGTACCTCCATGAATTATAGTTATATCATGTTATATCTACCATAAACCATTGTTTTTTGGCCACTTTTTTTAGGCAACGCTATCGACTGGGGGCCCCATCCTGTATGGGTTTGTTTGGAAAGGGGGACCAATTTGGTCTATCCTCAAATGGATCATCATAATGGGAACATGGTGATAATAGCCACTAGATTTAGGGTGATAATAGCCGCCATCGTCGTTGAACTACCAACATGGGAACTGAACCAATACTAAATGAAGATTATATCAATAGACATGAGAAACACAGCAACAAAAGAAATTCGATGTACCCTTTCGTAAACTAACATAACTATGGAAAATCACCATTGTTTATGGGTAAATCCACTATAAATGGCCATTTTCAATAGCTATTTTGACATAACCAGAGGGTATCTGAAAAGGGGGTTCAACCTGATCCATCCAACGGCCAACAGAAATTGTTTTGAATCGAAACGAGTAGGATGTTGGTGAAAACATAGGGATGTACCCTCTGGTAAACTTACAAAAAACTATGGAAAATCACAATTTTCAATGGGAAAGATCACTATTTCTATGGCAATTTTCAATAGCTATGTTAAATTACCAGAGGGTAACTATCACCAGCAGAGACATCATTCAACCAAGCAGTTGTTCAATATCGTCAAGAAAAAAGATAGAAAAAGGCATGTATATGACTACCTACAGTCCAACACAAGATGCCTATATGGAGGTTTCCTGAAATAGGGGTACCCCTAAATCATCCATTTTCATGGGATTTTCCATTATAAACAATCCAGCTATGGGGATCTCCCATTTATGGAAACCTCCATGTATCTACAACCAACACATATGTTTCTTTCAACGCAAACCAACGGAGATCAATCCTTGGCACTCTCGTTGGGGTTTGGAAGATCAGACATTCGACCTGGGTTTGTTTGCCTTTTTTTGGCTTGGTAATATATCCCCGAATCCCCATCTCGACAAATCCGGTGGTAATTTCAGGATCCGATTGAATGGAGGTACGTAAAGGTACCATATAAGACATTATATAAGACCATATTTTGTAAGATACAACAATATTACAATTATGTAAAAGCAAATACAATATAGTAATTATATGATATTACCCTTGTGAATAGCATATTTGTTGGATTCATAACCCCGGAATAAAACAATTATTAATGTTTAAACCCAAATTAAAAGGTGTCACTCTACAACTATAGTGTGCCAAACCTACTCCTTGGGGGCATCCGGGCACCCGTGAGCAGCCGTTGGCACCTGCCTTGTCCAGGTCGAACCCTTGCGCGTCCCCTGGATACCGTTGGAAGATCTGGTGGAGGGACCTCCGGCATTGGCACAATTCCGCAGGCTTCGAAATCCATGGAAAACTTACCTGGTTGGTGGTTTGGAACATGAATTTTATGACTTCCCATATATTGGGAATAGTAACCCCAACTGACTTTCATATTTTTCAGAGGGGTAGGTATACCACCAACCAGTTACTGGTGCTTAGGAGGAAATGAGGGAATGGGATGATTGTTGATATTTATATTTATTATAAATCATTTCCACATCCCTACTAAGCACAAGTAAGAAAATGGGCTGTGTCTGAAAATTGGGTATACCTCTAAATGGCCAATTCTATTATTGAAACAGCCAATTCTATTGCCATTTAGAGGTATACCCATTATCGCACAGCAATTTATTATTATTATTGGGTATACCACAAATTTCAATAGCCAATTCGATTTCCATGACTGAAACAGAAAATTGGGTATACTAAATCCGATGGATGTGGGAGTACACGATTTTCAGACGAACCCAATTGGGAATCGTTTGCAGGGCATTCATCCATGGGAGATCTCCAGGATCCTAAAATGGAGGTACGTAAACGTACCATATTTCTGACCATATTTTCTGGGATATTCCCTGAAATCTAGGCCTTATTTTTCGGCCTTATATATATATATATATATATATATGGTTGGTACCTCCAATTTAGGTTCCTGAAATGGACATTGACACATGGGATACAATGAGGATATGGGGCTGGGGTGGCCTTGGTCAAAATTGGGATACTCTTTGGTAAACCTACAGAAAACGATGGAAAGATCCACTGAACTTAAGATTGAACCAAAGGTTGAATCCCAGGAGCCGGTGGATGTGAACCTCGGGGGTGGGGAAGGGAGCACGTCCCAGGCTGGGAGTTCTTCTCAGTCTGGTGGTGTTTCTCGACCTGATTCTCTTGGTAGCTACCCTAGGGCATCTGTTGGAGTCAAGCGAAAATGGTCAGAAGAGGATCTCTTGAATGAGAGAAGAGGTCCGTAGGCACGTATCATCCGGTAGTGCTGCCTCCACCACCTCCTGGTACAGTGCGAGGGCAAGTTCAAAGAGAAGCTTGGTACAAAATTGCCGGTGACAATGATGATGATAATGACGGTGGTGATGATGTTTTTTGGATGACATGACAATAACAATGATGATGCTGACGACGATGATGATGATGATGATGACGATGATAGTGATGAAGATGATGATGATGATGGCGACGACGACGATGCTGATGATGATGATGACGATGATAGTGATGAAGATGATGATGATGACGATGATGATGATGACGACAACGACGATGATGATGATGATGATGACGATGATAGCACCATTTTCAATGGGTAAATCTGCTAAGTCACTATGAATCACCATTTTCAATAGCTATGTTAAATTACCAGAGGGTATAGCGCCAAATTTGGACGCTTTCGTTACTCAAATTGAAGCAAACCAAGTGGTTGGATCTTAAAATTTGACTATCATACGAAGACTGTACGCTTTAAGATAGAAGACTTTACAGACTTAGCCTAGATATAAAGAAGTTACATAATTTATGTTGGAAGTTAACATGACTTATCAAAACTATGAAAAGAAGTTATGTTAGCTTGGATAACTTATTTGTAAGTTTTTGGTAAGTTTCGATAACTTTTTATAACTTTTGATAACTTTTTAAAACTTTTAAAGGCTTTGCAGTGTTGGTTTCAAAGTTGTTTCGGATCATGCTTAATAATAACGTAATAATTGGCTGATTTGGGCGGCATTTCTTTCCTCTGAGCTGTGCGAATGGTGCTGCAGGTTGTTTTCTTTTCTCTGGTTTGCTTTCTTTATGATGACTTGAGTTTGCCACAAGATGAACCATATCAAATTCAAACACGGACTACAGTATATATAGTTGGGATCGCGTTTGTGAATCTTTTTCTTGTTGATACTTATATATAAACACTATTAACTCTAACATATTGTAGTTACAATAGCTTTATATTGTCTAACTTTAAATAGTTATTATTTTTTCTTGCTGAATTTGTGGGTTTTGTGTGTCTACAAGTTTTTTTTAAGAAACCCACTTTAAAGAAGTAATTAATATGAAAACTGCAATTTCTGGCATGGTTATGTTTGTAATATCTCTGGTAAAGATTGAAAGAGCTAAAGTGAAGATTGAACGACCTATAGTTCAACGTAGCTATAATTCATATCGAATTTGAAAACCTTCAAGCAGAACCAGCTGTAGTTCAATATAGCTATAGTTTAATCATTTTAAGGAAATATTTTTTTTACTTTGGCCATAGTTCCTGTATAGTTCCTGCATAGTTCCTGCATAGTTCCTGCATAGTTCCTGCATAGTTCCTGCATAGTTCCTGCATAGTTCCTGCATAGTTCCTGCATAGTTCCTGCATAGTTCCTGCATAGTTCCTGCATAGTTCCTGCATAGTTCCTGCATAGTTCCTGCATAGTTCCTGCATAGTTCCTGCATAGTTCCTGCATAGTTCCTGCATAGTTCCTGCATAGTTCCTGCATAGTTCCTGCATAGTTCCTGCATAGTTCCTGCATAGTATAGTTCCTGCATAGTTCCTGCATAGTTCCTGCATAGTTCCTGCATAGTTCCTGCATAGTTCCTGTATAGTTCCTGCATAGTTCCTGCATAGTTCCTGCATAGTTCCTGTATAGTTCCTGCATAGTTCCTGCATAGTTCCTGCATAGTTCCTGCATAGTTCCTGCATAGTTCCTGCATAGTTCCTGCATAGTTCCTGCATAGTTCCTGCATAGTTCCTGCATAGTTCCTGCATAGTTCCTGCATAGTTCCTGCATAGTTCCTGCCTAGATTTTGAAGTTGTGCTTCTGGGGTTTTCAGCTCTATGTGTGCCATTTTTAATGTGGATAAGTTTTTTGCATCTTATAAAATTTGGCTTTTGTAAGGAAAAAAATGATAATAGTTTCTGTGCTGCTGGGGGGTTGTACCTAGCCAGAAGGTAGCTACATCAAGAGGAGAGAATCTCTCCATTCAAATTTCGACCGTGATATTATTTCAATAAAACTCTATATATATCTAGACCCGGACTATGGCTGAACCATTGCAAATTTAAACTTGCGTTATGAACCATAAATTTGCAAGATAACTGCAATGCAAATGACGCAAAATAGGGGTTCCATAAAGGAGTGCCTCAAGCAATGGAATTTCAAATTTTCAAAAAAAAGTTTGGGGCACTCGTAGCTCCTCTTGACTTTTTTTAATCTAAGGACTTGGAACTCACAACACGCAAAATATACTAAAAACAATTTGAAGCAATAATGGTCTTGTAGTTTATAATGTAATGGTTTAAAAGCTCGTATAAGTAGATCCCAGAAAGAAAATGCTCCTCCATTGTGGTATATATTCATGTTTTGTTCTAAGAAAAAAACAAGTCGTGTCTTTTCATGCTTGATCCTTTTCAGGAACTGTCTTTTCAGACTGGATCCTTTTCAGGAACTGTCTTGTCAGAATGGATCCTTTTCAGGAACTGTCTTTTCAGACTGGATCCTTTTCAGGAACTGTCTTTTCAGAATGGATCCTTTTCAGGAACTGTCTTTTCAGACTGGATCCTTTTCAGGAACTGTTTTGAGCAAATCAGCTATATCACATGCCACGATGTGTCCATATCAAAACACAGAGCGCAAGATCCCTTGCAAGAACTGTCTTCAGAGACATATCCTTTTCAGGAAGTATCTTTGCAGAACATATCCTTTGCAGGAACTGTCCTTAGAAACCATATCCTTTGCAGAAACTGTCTTTGCAAACCTTATCCTTTACAGGAACTGTCTTTGCAGACCGTATCCTTTACAGGAACTACCTTTACAGATCAAATTCTTCACACACAAGAACTTTCTTTTCACACTTCAGTCGTTTAAAAAACTTATTCTTGGGAACCATAACCTTTCCGGGAAAGCATCTTTGCAACTATCTTTTTCCGGAAAACGTTCCTCAAGGTATCTAAACATACTGCACAAATTCCATTTTGTAACTTTTTCTAACTTTTTATAACTTTCTGTAACTTATGATAACTTTTGTTAAGAACTTATGTTAAGTCTCTTAACATAGTTATGAAAAATTATCTTTAGATAAGATACTAGCCGGCTACCTGAAGTTATAACCTACTTGTAAAAAGTTATGAAACTTTACATACTTGCAAGCAGGTTATAAAGACGTTATAGAGGGTTTAGAAGCACGTTATAATTCAAATAAATTTGTAAACCCACATAACTTTAAGCGTACAGTCTTCGTAGCCATGCCCAAATGCCAATCAAATATAGAGATTGGAGCCGATATACCATGTTTAACCATGAGATATAATGTGGGTAAAACAATGTCATAAACTACCCATTTGGGAATGGTAAACATACCACCCATTTATGGTGATTTTGGGGATGGTTTATTATTGTTTTAACAACATTAAAGAAAAACATAAAGATAAACAGCCAGCAAATGTATGGGTTTCACCAACACAAATGGGGACCTAATCCTAAACCACAGAATTCTGATGACTTCTGTATAAAACACCACGCCTGGCTGTGAATCAATAGCTTGGATACAGCTGTTTGTTATGGACGTTCAATCATCTCACCAAGATGTTATCAAGATGTTGACACGCATTTTAATCAGCAAAAACATGATATACAACCATCAAAAACGTGGCATTCACCTGCAAAAAAATGATATTTAGTTGGGAATGACTTGTTCAACATTTTTCGGATTTTTCAGACATGAATGAAGGGCTGATGGTAACGCCAAGGAATAGAATATAGTTTCAGACATATCATTGGCACCACGAGAAGATGTTTCTTGATTTGTCCATTGTTATCCACCAAAAAAGGCAAATATATAATCGGAATATGTGTCATGTTTTGAACATGTTTAGCTCTCCGAATCAGCGAAACTGAGTAAAGTGGGTTTAACCATTCAAGCATTACATGTTGCGATGTAGACTGAGGAGTTTAATCACCAAAATTCTGATTGAACTTGACCGTTGATATCATAACTCAGCTATAAATCCTTACTAAGTCCCAATTTTTCTTGGCTTTCCCATGGTTTTCCCATGGTTTTCCTATGGTTTTCCCATGGTTTTCACCACTTTCCTATGGTTTTCCCATGCTTTTCCTATGGTCTTCCTGTGGTTTCCCTAGGGTCTGGCAGCACCTCCCGGCCTTGTTTTGGGCGCGCGAGGCAATTGCTGCGACCCAATCAGAGAGTTGACGCCCTCGGGGCTCGGCCCGGTGAAAGGGACATGGAAACTTGGCCGAGCCCCTGGCGGAGCTGTGTTGATGGGAGGAGAATCATCATGGTAAATAACTGTAATAGTGATGGTGGATAATGGTGCTTAATGGTGGTTAATGCTGGTTAATAATTATGATGGTAATAACTGTAGTGATTAGATAAGCCATGATAAGCCATGATAGAATTTTATAATCATAATGGTAACCACTATAATATACTATAATTATGATGGTAATGATGGTAATGATGGTATAGCCTAGTATAAATATAATATACTATATCTGGTAAATTAACATAGTGATTATTTAACTATAAATAACTGTAGTGATTATAGATAAAGCCATGATAAGCCATGATAGAATGTTATTTTCCATCATATATGGGATAGTATATGAATCATAATGGTAATTATACTATAATATATACTATAATTATTTGATGGTATTGATATGTATTGATAATCATAATCATAATAGCTATAGCATGATATTGATAATTATGATGGTAATAACTGTAGTGATTGGATAAGCCATGATAAGCAATGATAGAATTTTATTTTCCATCATATATGGGATAATCCACCAACCATTGACGAACTCATATTTTCCAAGATGGTTGAAACCACCAACCAGATATACATAATTCTAGCATGATAGTGATAATTATGATGGTAATTACTATAGTGATTAGATAACCGATGAAACAAACAGATGATTACTTAACCTATTACTGTATATCATTAGTACCTATAATTAGTTACTATATATCATTGTCCCTACAATGTGGGGCCCCCGTTTACGATAGCTAAGTTGGTGCAAATAACTATAATAACTATGGTTTATGAGACGCAAATAACTATAGTATTCATGGGGGTTATAAACCAAATTAGAACGTTTGGGGGCCCCACTTTGTACTACAGTGATTAGACAACACATGAAACAAGTATAGTATTATATGATTACTTACTATATGACAATGTAATGATGGGATAATAGATAATATGCCCTCTGGTAAACCTACGAAAAGCTATGGAAAATCACAATTTTTTAGTTAGTGAAATCCACTATGACTCTATGGCCCCGGCTTCAAGTTCGCAAACTGTTAGTCACTACCAGAGGCTAAATCCCATTACATCCCATATGAAATCACCATAGAAATAGTTGATTTTCCCATGAAAATTGATGGGTTTTCCCAGTAAACCCATGAAACATGATGATTCTCCCATGAAACATGATGGTTAACCCATGAAAAATAATGGTTTTCCCATGAAACATGATGGTTTTCCCATGGATCCAGTGGAACTGGAAGGATTAACACCTGGAGGAAAAAACGGTGACCCTGAAATGGAACTGGGATCCAAGGCACACTGTGGGGAATACCATGGAATACCTTTTTTTTCCATAGGAAGTATGAACTAAAAAAATTACCCTCTGGTTATTTAACATAGCCATGGTATGGCCCATTTATAGATGGTTTACCTATTAAAAATGGTGATTTTCAATAGCAATGTTAAATAACAAGAGGGTAGATTTTGTTAGGCGGAATACTTAAAATTCATAGGAACGAAAGGTTGAAATCCTAAAGTTGGGGTACGTGGACCCAGTTCATGGGACATAATGAGGGTGCAAGGTGGTGCCGTGAACTGTTTGTTCCTGTGGTGTATCTTAATCCCATGATCTTGTTATACCATAAACCAAAGAGGTACCCTCTGGTAAATTAACAGTTCGACCCTGAAAATCACCAATTTTTAGTGGTTTCACTAATCTTCCAACCCCGATGACTACCAGGGTCGAACTGTTAATTTACTGGAGGGTCATATCATTGAAGTTGTAAACCACCACATTCATCCTGGATTCCAACTCGAATCGTCAGCAGATGTAGCTCAGTTGCTCATACATTACTAATCTGGTTGGTTGTTTGGAACATGAATGTTATTTTCCATTTCATATATGGGATGTCATCCTTCCCATTGACTAAGTTGCTAATATATTACCTGGTTGGTGGTTTGGAACATTTGGATTAGTTTTCCATATATTGGTAATTTCATCATCCCAACTGACGAACTCATATTTGTCAAGATGGTGAAATTGCACCACCAAGCAGTTATTATCTTCATTGAACATGGCCATTTATAGTGAGTTATCCCATTAAAAATGGTGATTTTCCAGATGGTGAAATTGCACCACCAACTCCATGGCCTGTTAAGTTGCTTATCGAGGGGTTTCCATATCCCCCCTGGTTTCTGTTTTGGAAGAAGAGTTTTACACTTGGAGGGTCAATGTTAAAACCCTTCTTGGGTAACTGTGCCCAAATAACTGGGAAAAAGCCTTCTTCCAGATTTGAGGGTTGCCCAGGCACCTGCTGCTCCTTCAAGATCTATATTACTTATATTATGTATATTGTTTAATATATATATATATATTATATTGTATATCATTTATATAATATATATATATATATTTATACATTATAAATTATCTTTATTATCTAGAGCATATATATATATATTATAAATACGTTCTAGCGTATACAAAATATATATTAAATGATCAGAATATTTTAGATATATTTGATATTTGTGATATACGATTTTTATTTTCTAGAGTATATTTAAATATTATGTAATATATATATATACATCATATTGAATATCATAATATTTTTAACATATATAATACATTACATATATCTATATATACATATCAGTAGTATGAAATGGTCACTAGGTTTACAATGTTCACCAAGTTTCACCATGGTTTTACTGGGATTATAAATTTTCACCAGGTTTAGGGATATCACCAAATTTTAGACTAGGTTTTCACTAGGTTTACGGATTTCATCAAGTTTTCACCAGGGTTTCACCAAGTTTTTAAATTTAAGCAGGCTTTTAAACAATCACCAAGTTTTCACCAGGTTTTCACCAGGTTTATGTATTTCACCAAGTTTTCACCACGTTTTTGAAATTCACCAAGTTTTCACCAGGTTTTCACCAGGTTTATGTATTTCACCAAGTTTTCACCAGGTTTTCACCAGGTTTATGTATTTCACCCAGTTTTCACTACGTTTGTGAAATTCACCAAGTTTCCACCAGGTTTTCACCAGGTTTTCACCAGGTTTATGTATTTCACCAAGTTTTCACCACGTTTTTGAAATTCACCAAGTTTTCACCAGGTTTTCACCAGGTTTATGTATTTCACCCAGTTTTCACTACGTTTGTGAAATTCACCAAGTTTCCACCAGGTTTTCACCAAGTTTGATGGATTTCACCAAGTATCACCAGGTTTTCACCAAGCTTTTGGATTTCACCAAGTTTTGAGCAAGTTTTCACTAAGTTTATATTGTAAGCAAAATTTCAAAAATTCACTAAGTTTTCACTAGGTTTTCACCATTTTTGTTTTGTTTTCGACATTTTTTGACAAAGTTTATGGAATTATTCGAGGTTTCACTAAATTTTCAAATTTTCACCAGGTTTGGGAAATTCACCAAGTTTTCACCAGGTTTAAAAATTTCACCAGGCTTTCACCAGGTTTTCACCAAGTTTATGTTTTTCACCAAGTCTTCACTACGTTTTTTAAATTCACCAAGTTTTCACCAGGTTTTCACCAGGTTTATGTATTTCACCAAGTTGTCACCAGGTTTAAAATTTCACCAAGTTTTCACCAGGTTTTTTTTTCGCAACATTGCATCCAAATTTCACCGTGAAAACTCTTCTTTTTCACCAAATTCACCATGAAAACTCTGTTTTTTTTTGATTTTGAAGGTGTAAGACTCTTCTTTCAATTCATTTTTTTATGAAATTACAAATTTCACCAGGTTTTCACCAAGTTTATGGATTTCACCAAGTTTTCACCAGGTTTTCACCAAGTTTATGTTTTTCACCAAGTTTTCACCAAGTTTTTGAAATTCACCAAGTTTTCACCAGGTTTTCACCAAGTTTTCACCAAGTTTGTGTTTTCACCAAGTTTTTGAAATTCACCAAGTTTTCACCAGGTTTTCACCAGGTTTATGTATTTAACCAAGTTTTCACCAGGTTTTCAAAAATTCACCAAGTTTTCACCAGGTTTTCACCAAGTTTGATAATTTAAGATATTTAAGCAACTGTCTAAATTTCACTAGGTTTTCACCAAGTTTTCACCAGGTTTCAAAATTTCCACCAGGTTTTCACCAGGTTTATGTCTTTCACCAAGTTTTCACCTCATTTTTGAAATTCACCAAGTTTTCACCAGGTTTTCATCAGGTTTATGTATTTCACCAAGTTTTCACCAGGTTTTCACCAGGTTTTCACCAGGTTTTCACCAGGTTATGTATTTCACCAAGTTTTCACCACGTTTTTGAAATTCACCAAGTCTTCACGAGGCTTTCTCCAAGTTTTATAATTTTAGCAAATGTTTAAATTTCACCAGGCTTTCTCCAAGTTTTATAATTTAAGCAAGTGTTTAATTTTCACCAGGTTTTCACCAAGTTTTCACCAGGTTCTCACCAAATTTTCAACACGTTTTCATCAAGTTTATAAACTCCAGTAGGATTAAAAGTAAAGCACCAAGTCTTCACCAGGTTTTCACCAGGTTTATGTATTTCACCAGTATGTCACCAAGTTTTTAATTGTAAGCAAGTTTATTTAAAAAAAAAACAGCAAGTTTTCACCGGTTTTCACCGGTGAAAGTTCTAACTGGTGAATACCTGGTAAAATCCATAAACTAATCTAAGTGAAAACATTGTGAAATAACAAGATTTCCTTTCAAAGGGGTCAATCACCTCATCTGTGAGTGCTCAGGGTGAGCAGTTAGTGATGCTCCAAGATATGGTCAAAGAGCAAGCCAAGGCCATAGCAGAGCTCGCTGACGCCGTACGGAAACTGCAAGTTGGGGACAGGAAAAGGAAGGGGGACAGTGTGGCCATAAAGCTGGTGTCCTTCGGGTACAACAAGAAGGGTCCTCCAAGATTAGGACCTGAATGGAAGACGCCTCACCCCCGAGGAAATGGTTCATCACAGGAATCACCAGAAAGGGGACAATGTGTCCAGCAATTTGGTCATGATGACCAAGGCGGCACATCTGGCTTTACATGCCAGAGAGAAGAGGCAGCAGCTCTGGACTGGTTGTGGCTCCGGACGTCATAGGTCTGTCGCAGTCACGGAAGAAGTCGGAGATTCTCTCAGGGGAGAGGGATACCAGGTCATCATAGAGCACCAGGAGGGAGATTCCTGGCCGAGGAGATCAAGACAGCATAGACATCCCATTGTCACAGAAGATTGGGAAAATAGGGCCACTGATGCATTTCCACAATGATAATTCAGAAACACGTCAAAACAGGGAAACTGTAATAGTCGTTGATAATTTTGCAAACTCCAATGACGAGTCTATAGTAACCTCAACACGGATTTATCTTAAAAATCACGGCGCCTGGAAATGATGGTTACTCCTGTCACGATATCTTGGAAAAGACTAGGAGGTATGCTGGTATACTTCAATGGATTGGTTTAAGGGAAAAATTACAGGAAAGCCCAATATTTAATGGGAAAATCGATGGTTTCCTGTAGATTTCCCCGTGAAAACCACTCCATTGAACTGCAAAAAGATCTACCAGCGTGGACAGCCGCAACCAGCCTAATCAACCTATAATGCGAGCAGTAGTTTGTCATATTCACCAACCATCAACCATAGATGTCACCAAGTTGTGTTCACCAACATGCCTGGAAAATATCCTAAAAAATTGCCTTTATTCGTGGTCATACCATTCCCGCTTTCAGGAATTTGTGGTGAATAATTTGGATCGCACCAGGAGCGATGGTCTGGGCGGCTGGATCTGTTTTTGGTTCGATTCTGTTAATATACGTGGACAGTTCTAATATATTTATGGGATGGTTATGGGATATTTATTGGACTAGGACGCATAACTATATAAGTATAAACAAATATTGGTGGTAAAATGGAGGTACGATGTTGTTAAGATGATATATATATATATATAGTGGTGAACTACGGTATTTTTATGGGATATGAATGAGATATACCATCCACAATATATTTACATATGATTCTTGGGTTATATCCATCCCCAGATAGATGCCACAAAAAAATAGAAACCTGGAACCTTGGAGGAAACATAATCTATTTGCCTGGAAACACTCTTAAGTCTTAGGTATTTTTTTGGGGTCCCCTTATATTGGCTATTTGGCTCATAAATAAATATCTAAATATGATATACATATCAATGAATCAATGCCCATCAGTGCCTACTACCTGTGGAGCTTGCCTGTGGTTTTTGCTTTCAACATCCCCTGGTGACATCGCCGGCGCTTGGGGTCAGAGCGCAATACCAATCCACCTGGGTTTCTGGTTGGTTTGTACTGTACTGGGCGATGGTCAGTGGTAGGTATCCATAATTGGTAGCGCAGGTCCCAAGATTTTTGGCAATTGCTAGCGATTTCTCTATGGATCCCCAGGCTTTGTGTTAAAGATTACCCCTGGTAATGAATAACTGCGAACTGGAACATGGCTGGAAAGTTCGTTGATTTACCGAACTTCAAGATGGTGATTTTCCACTTCGCGACCTGTTCGTTTACCATAGTGGTTCATGGCTGCCTTCTCTTTAGACAAAGCCATTTCTGGCTGGTGGTTTCAAACCTTTTTTTTGTTCCATAATATATGGGATGTCATCCTTCCCATTGACGAACTCATATTTTGCAAGATGGTTATTGCACCACCAACCAGATATCCATCATAATTATCCATCATAACTATGGAAAATCACCATTTTCAATGGGGTTATACTAAGGGTTATATGGTGTTCACCATTGAAACGTAGCATTCTCCGTAGCGTTCTCCGTGGCGCGTAGGAAATGCAGCGAATGGGATCCCACTTTCTTCAGACCTTTGGATACAGCATCAGCGCCTCGGTCCTGCATGGCAAGGTCCTGGATGGTAAACCTGGATCTAATAATGGGAATATCATTGGGAATATCCTTGTTTGGTTTGGGAATATCCATGGTTAAATCAATGTTATTAATGGTTTAAACAATCAAGAATCATGGATGAATAGTGGATAATTGGGAGATACCCGGCCTGGTAAACTCACAGATAGAGCGAACTGGAACATGGCCCACTCGAAATCGTTGATTTACCTATGAAAAATGGTGATTTTCCATAATTACCGGAGGGTAGAACCAGGAATCACAGGTGAATGTCATGAATGTCATATTGTGATTTTTCAGCGGCCAGCGTAAAATTGGCGAGAATGCTTTTGTAATTAGAAAAGGTGCAGTTATGGCCATTTATCAGTTATAAGTACTAAGAAGACCCCATTTATAGAATGTATAATCCCATAGAAATAACCAGTTGTAACTGGTAAATGGCCATAGCTGTACATGGTTAGAGCCGGTATACTGGACGAATGTCCTGAAATAGTGAACTCGGCGTCTCCGAATTGAGTATTTATGGTGGGCATATATCATTATATATCTATGATAGTCTATGATTAGATGGGAATATCAGCCAACAAGCATGACTGGGGCCCTTACCAAATTTCCAGAAACCTATTGTAAATCAATGCAAATCCTCATGGTCGAATCGGTCAAATCACCGTTATTTATTTCTTGGCAAGTCCCATTGTTTTCTTTATGGGAGCCTTTTTGCTGCCACATTGAACAATATCACACATAACTCATGACTTTGGTATTACCATAGATATTGTGACACATATTCAAACTAACCATATATCATATTACCATATTACCATAGATGCCTAACAACATCTAACATTCACATATTCTGGAGAAATATTGTAGCCATGCACCTAGATTCTCAGCCTTTGCGGAATAAGATTGGAGGATTTATTACACTAACAACATAAAACGAAGTTGGCAGGGGATCAACAACATACCCCACATTTATAGCGGGTATCTCTATAATTCTCTATATAGATCCAGGTTCTCTCCAAAGATTTTGGGCGGGGTGAATTTCATCTGCGACAAGATCAACTTAAACATCTTTAATGAATTCAATAAAAATAACACGATGTGTCACAAACATGGCGTCATTGATGTAGAGTATTGTTTTTTAAAAAATAAATGGATACACAAGTTCTGGTGCTTTGGAACATGAATTGGTACATTTTCCATACATTGGGAATAATATCATCCCAACTGACGAACTCATATTTTTCCAGATTGGATCATCATCCCAACTGACTAATAGTATTTTTTCCATATCTGGTTGGTGGTGACTGGAACAGGTGGTTAATAGTGGTTAATCTGGTTGGTGGTTTGGAACATGAATGGTATAATTTTTCCATTCATATTGGGAATGTCATAACCCCAGACGAAGTCCATCATTTTTCAGAGGGGCGAGCTCAACCACCAACCTTATAGAGATTCTCCGGATTCCATTAAAGCTGGTTGTGAGGAAAACTGCTGTTTACCGTGTTTACATAACTGGTAAACCTGCAAAAAACGATGGAAAATCACCATGTTTAATGGGAAAAACTATGGAAAATCATCATTTTTTTTGGGAAAAACTATGGAAAATCATCATTTTTAATGGTAAACCTACCAAAAACTATGGAACATCTCCAGATGTAATAGGTAAATCATCGAACTACTGTAAATGATCCATCTTCCATAGCTATGTTAGTTTGTTTAATGGAGGGTACATAACTGGTTAAACCATCAATACCATCACGATGTCCAGTAGTTTGTAACCTTGTTTAACAACCTACAACTAGAACTCTGTAAATGTAGTAAATATATCTATACTTAGATGGGGTCAATGGGGTTGGCTATACACAACTGGTCAAACTATGTTGAACCACCATTTTCCATCATTTACGTTCCAGAGATCAGCATAACTATGTGAAAAATCACCGTTTTTAATAGATAAACCATCTATGAATAAGCAATTTTCCATAGCTATGTTAGTTTGCTGGAGGGTGGGTTCATTAACATCCCATGATTGTCCCATCTTTGTCCCTATTAACTCATACAGCACCATATGAAACGACCATTTCTCCTTTCCGAAATTCAATTGTTCACAAGTAAATAAGCCATTTCCATAGCAAACGGTTGGGTTTTCCATCATCTACCCCGAAGAAACTACTGTATGTTGAACCAGCATTTCCCCCCACATTTCCCACACATGTTTCACCATTTTTGTCCGTTACTTCACCTGTTTTATAGGTGTTCACCGAGCTAGCAAAGAATGGCGCGCTGGGTCTACTGCTGGGTGCCTGGCTATCGCAACTCTTGGGCCTGGCGTTGCTGAGGCGCCGGAGTCGGCGGATGGTGGGAGGATTCTCCGGGAGAATCAAGGTGTACAACCATCATCTGGTTGGTGGTTTCAAAAATGTTTTTTTTCCACAATATAATCTGGTTAAATTGTAACGACCTCACTGCGACCTCACTGGGAATCATGATTAATAAGGGGAATCATCCCCAATTGGCCTTATTTCCGGTTAGTGAAATATTATAATTTTCCACAATATCATAGGTTAATAGGTAAACCATCTATAAATCACAATTTTTAATAGGTTAATGATAATATATGGGATAACCTTAATTTTGGTTACTATAGTGGTAAAAATCAATGGTTATTATGATACTTAATACTACATATAGTATACATGGGGAAAACCCCTTGGGTGATTGGTATCAAAATGATGGTTAATGAGGGTTTTCATTCATGTTGATGGTGAATACTAGTGGTTGATAGCGGTTGATAGTGGTAATGATTATTGGTTGTGGTTGGTTGGTAGTGACAATAGCCACAATCAAGATGATTCATGGCTTCATGGTGATGGTGGCTCAAAAATGGTTGTGATTAATAGTGGTTAATGGTGATTAATAGTGGTTGATAGTGGTTACTAGCTATTAATGGTGGCTAACAGTGATTATTTCATATATTGGGCAGGGAATGCTCACCCAACGATGCCCGCCACGGTCGCTGGATGGTTCACATGTGATGTCCCTTTTTGTTTCCGTCATATGGAGGTTTCCTAAGTCATAGGGTTACCCCCAGTTATCATCCATTTTTAGATACTCGTAGTGTCAATCCTGGATTAATAAACCTCTAGGCTGTTTATCCCCAGGTAAAACATATGGATGATATTTGCCATTTATTTATAAGCCATCCATGAATGGGGGATTCCCCATTGATGGAACCCCCCCCATATTCAATGGCCACTTCAGGAACCTAAATTGGAGGTACCTACCATATATAAGGCCTATGTAAGGGAATATCCCTAGAAAATATGTTATATGGTACAGTACCTCCATTTTAGGATCCTGGAATTCCCATTGACATATGTTCCTATGATTTTCCCGTTTTAGCCACCTATGAGACCAGCCAGGCGATCAAAACCTGGCTCCTGGAAACCTGTGTGTCTCAGCGGGGTGGCAGTGGTGGCTGTGGTACATGGGGTAAATAATTGTAGATAGATAGATGATAGATGGATGGATCGATAGATAGATGGATAGATGGATAGATGGATGGATCGATAGATAGATAGATAGATAAACAGACAGAGAGAGAGCAGACAGACCGACCGACCGACCGACCGACCGACCGATAGATAGATAGATAGATAGATAGATAGATAGATACATAGATAGATAGATAGATAGATAGATAAATAGATAGATAAATAGATTGATTGATAGATAGCTAGATAGATAGATAGATAGATAAACAGACAGACAGACAGATAGATATCAATAAATGTACATACTTAAGTATGTATACATGATGATTTGTATTATATATATATATTTTGAATATACTGTTATATACATACATGTGAGTGTGTGTATTTACATGTATGTTAAACTTTTTTGGTAAATATGTACATGTATAAATGACTATAAATGTGCGTATGTATGTAATATATATATATGTTTAAATATGTATATATATATAGATACATATGTATCTATATATATACACATATGTTTTCAATTCTGTATCAATATGTACGTATACATGTACATATATATATAGGGGATACTGGCACCTGTGGGCCGTGGGGATTATATTGTTAATGTATGTGTAAATGTTTATATCTATGCATGAAAAAATACAAAGCAACAATAAATGTATTTTTGTTTGGAACAACATGACTCATTGACACCCGTTGCTTCAGTTTTTTGTAACATGTTTTGTTTGTATGTGTAAATGTTCAGGTAAAGAACAACAAACAATATTTTCACACCAAAACAAGTTAGTATCACCCCTCTATTAACCAATCAACAGAGGTATATTGGATTACTTTGGTGGCACTGGCTGGTGAGGTTGGTGCTACGAATGTCCGGCTGCCTTTACCTTCTCAGTTGTGCCGTTTCTGTGGCTGGACTGACGCACTACAGTGCCGTGATGCGGCATCGCTTGAAGGCTGGTGTTTTTTTTTTTGGGTATCCCTACCGTCCGAATCGTTCAATGACATGTGTTTTAACGTGTTTTACAGTTATGGCCATTTACCAGTTATAACCAGTTATGACCCCATTTATAGAATGTATAGTCCCACTTATAACCAGTTATAACTGGTAAATGGCCATAACTGTAGGTTGTGCGTATCGATTGTTTTCCTTTCAAAATCACAAATTCACTGGAAACCGCAAAGATCATCAATTTGGTGGTAGCCATTAATTGCATTGGATTAATTATCTACATCCCTTGCGCTGTGTCAGACTTACCCTTGTAGTCCTTGAAGTGGTTACATAAGGACATTTTGGAGGACGTGCCCTCGGTAAACCCTCGAGGGTAAAACATGGAAAATACCATGAGAAAACCGTGTACCCCCATGGTTTCCTGTAGTTTTTGTCCTATGAAAAATAAATCCCGTGGAAAATCACAAATATATACCCCATCTTGTATAGTTAGATTGACATGTTTTGATGTTTAAACCCCACTTATATATATAATTATATGAATATATATATATATACATATGTATATATGAGGGGTTTCCATAAATGGGGGATCCCAATAGCTGGATGGTTAATTTCATGGAAACTCCGAACTTAAAATGGATGATAGCTGGGGATACCCTAAGTTTGGGAAACTTCCATGTGTATAAACACCAGTAAGTATAGTTATAACTAGCATAAACCATAGTTATTGGAGTTGTTTGCACCAACTGAACGCTATCTTGAGGGCCCCACATTGTATATATACATAACCTATACATCCCATCTCTCTGGTGGGGTCTGGTTGCTTCCAGCGACTTTTTTTTGGCAGGTCCTGTGTTCGGAATTCGTGTTGGGCATCAGCGGTGGCGATGTGGTGCTGTGGCCACAGGATCTGCAGTTGCAGATGGCCACAGGTGTGCCCGGGCCCACCGGGGGCCCACCGGGGGCCCACCGGGTGGATGGCCAATATAAAGCAATGAGAAGTGGTAGTAGTTTATGCTATGGTATATAATCCATTTTCATATATGATCCATTTTTTATATTATAATATTAACATTATATAAACCCATTATAATCATTTTTCCCCATTTCCTGGGCATATCTTATTTTATCTTATTTTCCCATTTATAAGTGGGTGAACTAACCCCAGATACTACAATGTGAGGCCCCCGTTCGATAGCTAAGTTGGTGCAAATATGTCCAATGTCACTATGGTTTATGGTATTTATAACGAACTAGTTACTGGCGCGAATCTAAACCAACTTATAACTGGGGGGCACATTGTAGGCTATGGTATATAATCCGTTTTCATATATGATCCATGTTTATATTATAACAGTAATATTAAACCCTTAAAAATCCTATGGCATACTATGGTATACGATGGTTTAGACCATAAATGATCCTATTGGTATATATGAATAGTAATATTAGATATGTCTTTCAAAAAAAAACTGATATCTTAAAGGGGGTATCTTAAATATGATCCCAATTCAATATTGAAGTGTTGGTCGTTCATGGCTTGGATGATTTGGAGGAATTTTATGGATCCATGGTGGAAATCGATCTAAAGGCATTGAAAAATATTGAAATGGATAAGAAAACTGTGGTATTTATGGACCATAGTATACCATAGTATACATTTGGATATTTTGGACCTATAGGAATATCTTATCCTACATCTATAGGATCTATAGGCTGTATATCTTATCCAGGAATTTTCTGGATCCAAATATAAGATCGGAAATTTGGACCCTACATTTACCCAGCCTGGGAAACCTACAAAAAAACGAACTGGAAAATCAGCATTCATGGGAAAAAGAACGCTATTTCTATGGTAATTTTCCATAGTTAGTTATGTGAAATTACCAGAGTGTAGGGCATGCTTTAAATGAATAGGACACACAAGAACAAATCGGCATGGATTGAAACGATTCACGTTGTGACCTCACAGAAGTGATGGGCAGATGATTGGGGTAACTGGGCCCCCAAATGGCCACACTTTTCATTTGATTTCAGGTTGGTGAATTAGTAGAAGTATCCAGATATGAGGGTTTCCATAAATGGTTATTATGGACATTTCAAACATAAATTGGATGATTTGGGGGTACCCTTTTCTTAGGAAACCTCCATATATGTAGTTTGGCTCCATGTTTGAGAAAATATTATGTTTTCTACAGTATATTTCTACTTGAGAACTGAATAGAACATAAAAGCAATATATAAATCCTATGTGTGTGGTTAAACATCTCATTGTGGTTTGGACGATTTTTGACAACCCAACTTGTTTCTGTTCAAGGTGTGTGCCATGTTTCTTAAAGTTGTAATCAACATCAATGGAGAAGGAAATCTTGACTGATCCCAGATGCTCTATGGTGCTGGAATATTTACCTACATTTACCCTAAAAATGAACCAAATGTAGGTAAATATTCCAGCACCATGGAGCATCTGAAGATCTATGGGACCCTAATCCACACTATCCAACCCCTAAGTCTGGAAGATCCTCATTGCACCTTATGACAGCGCAGGATGGAACATGTTTCATGTCATTTTGCGGTTAAAACCCTTTACAGAGTTAAATGGTTCTCAATCGTTATGAATGGGCTTATCATCCCATAAATAGGGGTTATAGCTGACTTAAGAGTATTTAAACGTGGTATTTCGGCCCTAAAACTGTGGCGGGGATGGAGGTGTTTCTACGTGTTATCACGTCATCACAAGGTGGTGCCCCCCCAGTTATAAGTTAGTTTATAAAGCCCATTAACTATAGATAATTATAGATATATCTACCATAAACCATAGTTATTGGAGTTATAAACCATAGTTATGGCCATGGCTATTAGTTATAACTGGTTATTTCTATGGGATACCCTACCATAAATCCTAGTTATTGGAATTAGCACCAACTTAGCCAAACAACTGGGGCACCACGTCATCACCGTGAGGTTCACATTTTATGCTGACCAGCGCCTTCGTGAGTTTCTTGCTGGGCATCCACCAGCTTACAGAGGAGTGCCTTGGCATTCGGTCCAATGGTCATTGGATTACATATTTTTTTTTCCTACTTATTAGTATTATAATTCGTGTGTATATATATATAGATAGATATGTATTTTTTGCCTTATCAAACTATTAAAAATATAAATTATATATGTTTTTCCCTATTAAAATTATTTGAAATTGCCATTCATTGGGTCTCCCTTATGACAACGCCACCTGAGATGGCAGGTTTTCCGTGGCGCCTAGCAGTAGCCCTGCCGGGAGAGTCCAAAGTGAGGCCACACGCGTACGACGGACGACGTGGCAGTTTTGTTTGGCAAATCGAAGAAACATGGACTGATGATTATTTACCCTCTGGTAAACTAACGTGACTATGGAACATCACAATTTTGAATGGGAAAACTCAGTATACATGGCAAATTTCAATAGCTATGTTAAATTACCAGAGGGTATCGCTTATTATGGATTTTTATGGATTATTTCGATTATCATGATGATCCATACTAATCCATGGACTGTTTGTTTGTACTGATGATTATCATGGATGATTATGGATTATATTTTCTGGATCATCATGGAATAAATATGATCCACTAAGAATAGTGGCTGATGGCTAACAATAGCGAGTTATATTGTTAGTGGGTTATATACCTATGACACATGGACCATATTGTTGATAATGATCATGGATAACCCATGGATTACCCTCTGGTAAACTAACAAAACTATGGAAAATCACAATGTTTAATTGCTAAATCCACAGGGGATCAACATCCAAGCTGGCTGGCCAAGGATTTAGGCACGATGTTTAAAAAGCACCCGAGTGTTTCATGGATTCAACGTGATTCAACCAATGAATTGTGGTTATGGATTATAATGAACTCCTATTACCCTTTGGTTATGTCAGCATAGCTATTGAAGATGGCCATTTATAGTTAATTTAGCCATTAAAAATGGTGTTTTTCCATAGTTATGTTAGTTTACCAGACGGTATATGATCTAGTTTTTTGGATTATATATATATAATATATATAAGGTTCTGGCTCGGGGTCCTAGACTAGCGCCCCCCGCCTGCCAACCTGAGTGGGTCTGGTCCACACCCACGGGTGCCATTGCAGCGGCGACTTTGCTGCTTGGCTACCTTGTGCTCTGCGCCCACTGCGCAGGGGTGCACCACCTTTGCTGCGCGGAGCGGCTGGGACCTACATCGACGTGGTCGTGAACCTTCCGGTATTTGTCTTGGTGCTCGGGCTTGCATCTCTGACATTGCCTCGGCGTTCCTCCACGTGTATGACATTTCCCCTGGGCTACATCATTGCATTGGTCTTTGGGGTCTTCCCGTTCTTCGGCGACGGCATCTCCTACGTTGCGGCGAGCTCAGCGGAGGCAGAGAGCCAACGCGAGGCGTGCCTGGTTCCTCCACCGTACTGGTTGGGCTACTTTGTCACCAGTTCGGCTGAAGCGCATCAGAACCATCCTAGCTTTGCATCCTAGCTTTGCATCATTCCAAGGACGGGGCTTTCCTGAGAAGACTGCAAGCAGCAATGGCTTCGAACGCACAGCAGGGGTGGCTTTGTGGGACCTGCAGGAAGATGAGGTCACCGAACGCATGGTTCTGCGACCTGTGCGGGCAATCTTGGGAAGTTTGCTCAGCCCCTACCAATGCACAGCAGGGGCAGCCGCGCGCTGCACAGGAACAACAGTGGCCAAGCCGGCACACTTCTTATCGAGAAAAGAGCCCTCGTCAAAGAACCAGGCAGAAGTCTCGGAAGAAGAATGCCAGTCAGTCTTGGCAATATGCAGAGGCGCATCCTGTGACCAGGAGCGAGCACAGCAATCCTCCCTGGCACCCGGGATCTTCGTGGAACATGCATCAACCAGTTGCGCCACCGATGATGGATGGCAAGGGCTATGGCAAAGGCTTCAACCATTTGAATATGCAGTTGGCCTCTCCTCCCCCTCCGCCTCCACCGATGCTAGTGGGACAGCCTGTACCACATGGAGTTCCGTGGATGCCGCAAAATTTGCAACATCCTATGCCAGTGACGCCAATGATGCCTTTTGTGCCGCCTGTGGATCATGCTATGGCACCACCACCACAGGCTCATGTGCCAGACGAAGTCCTGGACGAGCAGAAGAAAGAGAAAAGCGCCCAATACAAGCTCAACAAGATCGTCAAAGCAGCCAAAAAGGAGGATCATTTGTCGCCAGAGTTCCAAGATCTCGTCCACAAGGAGATGAAGAAAGACGACAAAGAGAGCACGGACGACTTGTTGGCAGCGGTGAAGGAACTGGGAGTTGCAAAGGAGTCCTTGATGGAAGTAGAACGGGCGCGCATGCAACTCTGGTCGCAGTGGCGTATCTTTTTACAACAATCAGTGGTGAAGTGGAAAGAGTACACTGCGCAATTTCAATCCTCAGAGTCCTCTTTCCATACCCGAATGCAAGAGGCCACAGCCTATCTCAAACGGGTACAACGCCGAGTGGATCGTGCCAAGAAGAGGGCGGACAAGCTGGGCCTGGACAAGGAAGAAGTCTTGCAGATCTCAGACGACGACATGGAGGAGGCCGACATCAGAGAAGAGGAGGAGCTGCCACGAGACGAACATGCGCAGAAGATCCAAGAAGGACTTCGCCAGGTGGTCACCAGCCTGTCGGATCTTTCCGAGTCAGCCGAAAAGCTGGAACCAAAGGCCAAACGACCACGCACCAAAGAGGAAGAGGAGCAATTTGGAGACAAATACTCCAACTTGCAGCCTTTTGCCAAGGCCGATGCTTCGTGACCGACGTGTACGGACATCAGAGGCCCTTTGATGAGTGTAGTCAATGGACTCACACAATCCTCTCTGAGCCGACCTTTCTGTCGCCGTGGCGAGCCGCTGAACAAGCCTTTGACCTGGCGATAGAATGTGGCGACTGGCACACCTTACGAGTGGACACTTTTTCACTGACACCCAAGAAGAGAAGCACTAAGCCTGGAGTTCGTTTTGATGAATCAGTTCTTGTCTTTCAGGGGAAAGACGACGGTGTGGAGTTCCAACCACACCTTGCTGTCATCAACGATTTCTACACAAGGCCCGTTCCCCGACAGTGCCCTTCAGGAGCTCGGAAGTCGTCTCCTACAAGAGGTTGGTCAGGTACCAGTCCACATGCCTCGCAGTCGTCTGGACAGTCAACCCAATCCGGCTTGCCCTTTGACCTTCCTCCATATCTACATCACTTGGAGATCAAGTGGAAAGAATCAGGGATCAATCTCATGCCACATGAGAGATACAGATTGAGGACCTGGTACATACATCACGAGCACAACCTGATCTGGAAGATTCCCCGCTTTGTGGAACTGCAACCTGACCCGCTACAATGGCATCAGGATGTTTTGCACCAGTGGCGGGATCAACTGCACAGTGATGCAGTCCTCAACATCGCGGTTGTCTTCCCAGAGGTTCGTGCTCTACGGCAGGCACAAGTGCATGGCGATCTCATTCTCACCCAGGGAGCTCATGACCGTTGTGGAGGCCTCACTACTGTCTTTCCACCGGGCAGCGATGAACAAGGCAGCTACACATGGGCAGCATCATATCCCAGACACCTCAGTGGAGTTGAGATTCTTCGTGGAGTGGCTGCGGACTCCCTTCTGCTCTCCCATGCGTGTGACGTTTTCCATGGAGGAGTGTCCATTCCTGTCACCCCTCAGCCCACGCATTGGATGATGAACGGGCATTCATTTGTAGCAGTCTTTCAAGACCTCACAGGAGCTCCTGGAACAGATGACTCTGCCATACAATCAATGCCTACAGGAGCATCACAGCCTCAAGCAGTTGCCTCTGATCCACCTGTTCCTCCAGATCCAGAGGATCCAGATGACTTGGCTGCACCCCACTCGGAACATCAGGAATCTGAGGAAGACAGCTCCACAGCCTCGAGCTCCAGTTTTGATGAAGAAGACCTGCAAGGTCTACAGATCTTTGGATTGGCACAACAAACTCACCATTGCTTTGTCCGCTGGAAGACCTACACTGGTGTCCTGCTGGACGTTTTGGCATCCATTGGTCTTCATCGCGACTTTGCGATTGGTTTTCACTCTTTGCAGGCCGATCTTGTTGACCAACATGCTGCGGAAGATGCAATTATTCTACAACGCGTTGGTGATGTTCCACCCGGAAGCTCCCATCAGCTTGGCCTGGTTGACATTGTGACGCATTGCCCCACAACCAATTCTCAGCGAGCCCAACGTGCAGTCCATCTCCTACCTCCTCAGCTATGTCGTCAAGGACTCATCTTGGAGCTTGGATTACAGAACTCCTGCGTTTTGGGCGATCAGACAGACCATTGCACCATCTACCACAACAATATCTTGTGGGAGCCTTTGGACTTTGGACCTCGAGAACTTCTTCATGGTGTTTATCTACGTGTAGTGATTGGAGAACCTGCTCGACAACCTCACAAGACGGCAGTTTCACAATCTACTACCACAGAGTGTCAGACGGAAGAACGCCCAACCAAGTATAGCAGGAGCCGGACGCCCGCAGCCAGCTCTATGTCATCTACACAGGGGCTTCAGATGCATCAGAGCAGCACTCAGCTTCACAGACAGAAGACTTCTCCCTTGCTTCAACACAGTGCGTCGTATCCTAGCCTCGGCTATGCACACCCTGGAGTTGTTGCACAACACTCAACAGGCAGGAGAGGGAGATCATCTTCGCGTGCTGAATGGACCGTTCAAGTCCGACGACAGTACATTGAGTCTTCCATTTGTGAAGATCCAGAAGAGGGACCAGTTGCATACTGGACCACCTGGTACCTCCACCACCAACGCTATCTGCGGAACATGGAATCCCGGACTTTGCGACTTGATCGTTTTGCCAGCCACTGGCATCGAGACCTTCAAGATCTTTGGGCTGGCGTCATTGACCCACTGGACGACTTTCAAGTCTTTGTCGTGAATCCTGAACCACCTGCTGATGATGAACACCAAGCACAAGGACACCTTTTGATTGTACAAGGGCAATCTGATCAGGTCCCAGCTCTGCTTTCTACAGTTTTCGATCATCCAGTTCATCGCAGACTCTGGCGCCTGGCGGCGCTGATGCCGGCCTTTGTCCAGACGATTGACGTGAATGAGATCCTCAGTCTTCAACGCTGGTGCACACGACGACAATGTGAATATCATTCCAGTTCGGGTCCTTGGCACGAGGGTGAAGTCATCCCTCTACAGCCAGGAGAAGGTCTTCAGATCACAATCACTCAACAGCCCATACATGAAGATCATGATGGCCTTGGTTTGATGCAAACAAGTTGCTCCAGTGTGCGAGACGACATCCGCGGCACCTACAGCCTTCACAGAGATCGATGGCTAGTTGATGTTGCAGAGATTTTCCATGACCACCAGACTACAGAATTGGCTGAAGAGGGCCCTATCATCTACATCTGGACATGGTTTATTAACCATCAGACATCCTCACGATGTAGAGTCCCTCGAGCGCTACGGTTGCTCCAGGACCCTAGTCATTGGTTACAAGAGGTCATGGCTCTGTGGCAGGATGTTTTTCAGCCAGGCGATGACACACTTATTCAGATTATCCATCCACAACCAGTTCAAGCAGGCCTGAGGATTGATACACCTCACTTGATGATCGAACAAAAGCCTAGTGAGGGACAAGCCGCAGTGGTCCTTTCCACATTCTTCCATGAAACTTTGCCCATCCAGCTCATGCAAGAAGCATTCTCGGTCTCAAGATGGATTTCTACATCAGACCTCATTGACATCCTGGAGATCAACCCGCTCTGTGACATCCAACGGTGCACGGCCCGTCTTGGAGGAGCTCCTTTTGACAAGTACATCCGGCATGACATCCCTTCAGCAGCAAGCATTGAGATGCATGTACAACCCGCACGTTGCCTTGGCGACCCCACGGCTGGCAGTGCGGGTGATTTGTATGTCAACAGGCAAACAGCCTTGGTTACCAGTCATTCCTTGGTACAAACTGGTCGATGGTTAAGGAGATCCCGAGCACAGATCTCACAGTCCAGCTCTTTGCAGACACCTCAGGATCGTCTATGTGATGACTATCTACAAGTTCCTCAGCGAGTTGCGGCTCACGCAGGGTTCTGGGCCAACGGGGGACCGAGACCGACCCCGAACTGGCCACTACATTGGGCTACCATCCAGGAAGTTTGGCATTACTTCTTTGGCGCCCAAGATTTGCCTGCAGATGCCTTCATTCGAGCGGAAGTCTGGTTTTCTGATCATTGCCGGCGGCCTTGGTCTGATGCAGGTCGCATTGTCCAACTTGGGGCTGACCTTGGCAGTTGGATCCCGAGCCTTCAACAAGCATGGTCAGACTGGTTTCGCGATGATCTACCTTTTGACCTGCAAGTCGTCAGACCCATGCCCATCAGTGGAATTGACATGGTACAGTTCCATGTCATTTTGCTTCAGCAACCTGAACCAGACAAGCGCAGTGTGATCCTGACAGTCATGGATTCCTTTGCTGACCCATGGGATCCGGCTCAGATTTGCACGGTCTTACCCACAACGGTCGACCACTGGCAGCTCTTGCGTGAAGCGGTTGTGGAATTTCAATGTCCACCCATTGTTCCCGCATCGAGATGCAGAACCCTCTTCGGCAACCTTGACATATCGGCGGGCAACTTGTTTCCTGTCCCGGACGGGGCCTGCTTCACCGTCGTCGTTGAGAACCCAGACATTGAACCACAATTGCCTTTAGGGCCAGAATATAGAGAAGATGCGGCTGAGGATCCAGGTCCTGACGGTCTTTCACTACTGCAACATCGTGCCCAACCCCTTCGACAAGCACTTACCCCGGAGGTAGCTTCCAGGGATTGGGCATCAGATGAAACCTTTGCGGAGAGCCACCAAGTGGATCAGCCCAGAGTTATTACTCTTATTGCGGGCGCTCCTATTGATCTTCTACCTGACCAAGTTGAGATCCCCGCCAACGGTGGTCAACGAGAACTTGAAGTAGAACTCTTGGCATGGGGTCATCGGGTCAAGGCCTTTTTCTTTGGTGACCACGATAAGGCAGTCTGTTTTCCACCTGGATGGAGCTTCCCAACAGATGCACATTACATGTTCTGCCATTCAGATGTCAAGGATCCCAATGGTGCCTTCCTTCACTCATGCAGTTCAGAGCTACAGGAAATAGACCAACTTCGACTGCTTCACAGCTGTGGTTACCTTCGTGCTGTTGTGCGTTCCTGTGTAGAAGTCTTTCCGCGTTTCTACCAGGTGCGATTCACTGACCAGCAGGTTGCACCCACTGAGACAACACAGAAGACGAGACCATGTGCTTCCTGGCCGCCTCCACAACCATTTTTGACACAGCCAGCACGTCCCTTCCAGCCAGGTACGACCTTCTCTACTGACCAACTCCTTCGTACCAATGTTTCCCTGGGCGACATTGAAGAGTTCTTCAGATCGCACCAGGATGTCTTGTACACGGACCCGACTGGTTATGGTTTTCCAGAAGAGGTCCTTCAAGCGATTTTGGACTGTGATCAAACTTTGCGTTGGGACGAGCTAGACCGCCTGATCATCTATGCGGACGGCTCATCAGCGGGCACAGGTCGGCACCTTCCTCCACTTCAGGCTGCAGAAGAAGGACTGGGAGACGCATGGGCTTATGTGGTCCTTGGGGAACGCTACTCTCCTCCAGGGCTGACCCTGCTTGGATGGAATGCGCAATTGGTCCAATATGAGGCCGATGGAAATTTCTATCTGGGAGCCACCCGCGTAGGGGCGGACATCGCAGAGAAGGAGGCCATCAGTTGGGCTGGGCTATGGAGGCTCACCCAGAACTCCTCGCTCCCTACTACATTTCGTACTGACTCGATGACGACAGAGCTTCAAGCCAGTGGACAAATTGGAAATCCAACCTGCGCTGAGTCCCACGAGACGGTCCGTGGCATCTTCCAGGCGTTAGAATCCCTGCTACCGGGCGATGCTCTACAGTTCAGCCATGTACCTGGACATTGCGGAGAACCTTGGAATGAGCTCTGTGATTTCCTGGCCAAGTTGGAGATTAGCCGCAGTCAATATTTTCGCCGTCCCACTTTGACTATGCGTACATGGCGACCGGCGCTCCGCTTCTTGTGGATGGTCTTCAGCAAACAGGATGGCTTGCCCCAATTTTGTGGAGAAGGATTTCATGTACCTCCTCCAGACTTACCAGATCAACAGCAACCTTGCTTGACTGCAGTATCGGACGTCTCCACTTTGGACATCCAATATCATCTGAGTATCTGTACTGCCAATGTGAACTCACTGAGTACTGGACCAGATGGCCACAGAGGCAAATTAGATTATTTGAGAACTCAATTTGTCCAACTTGGCCTCAATGTTATTGGAATCCAAGAAGCCAGAACACCTGTGTCACATACCTTTGTCGACAAGGTCATCAGGCTCACGTCGGGCAGCCAGGGCAAGCATCTGGGGGTAGAGTTATGGATCAACACCTCACAACCTTATGGATGGTGCGACAATGAGGCTCTGTATTTTCAGCGCGAGCATTTTCAGGTAGTACACAAGGACCCAAGAGCTCTCTTGGTTCATGCAGTTTGCCCCTATTTGGATGCATGGTTTTTGGTTGGACATGCCCCTCACAGCGGCATTGAAGAAGAGGCACGTCTATCCTGGTGGGCTCATTTCATTGCGCTGGGAGAGAGAAAAACATCTGGGGCTCATCTCTTTGTTATGGTAGATGCGAACGCGGCTCCTGGAGGAGAAGATGGAAAGGCAGTTCTCAGATCTGACCTGCCCACTAGCCTGAACACTCCACTGTGGAGAGAGTTCCTTCAAACATGTCATCTTGGCCTACCTTGCACAGGTGCAGCTCATGAAGGAGACATCATGACCTGGATCTCGCCGGATGGGTCCTCACATCATTGCTTGGACTATGTCGCGATTGACCTTGCACTCATGGCCTCATGCACATTTTCCAGTGTCGTTGAAGAGCTCGACTTGGGCCATGCTCAATGGGACCATACCGCCACCGCGGTACAGTTGAACTGGAAAGGCACTCATTCACGACAGGAGAAGAGAAGGGAGCGCAAGCCCGCTTTCGACCCCCGGCAAATCGACACGGACAAGATCGAGGAGATTCTCAAAGACTATCAAGTCCCATCATGGACTACTGACATTGAAACACATGTCGAAGGCTTCAATGCGCATGTTTTACAAGGGCTACATCAATCTTGTTCACGTGGATCTGACCAACCCAAGAAGCCCTTCTTTGATACACAGTTGTGGGATCTTCGGAAGTCCAAACTTCGTCGGAGGAAGCAACTGAAGGACATTGAGCGGAGGCTCAGAGATGAAGCCAAGGTTGTCCTCTTTCAGCAGTGGAAACAGTCCAGCAAAGGGAGCGTTGATCCTCTCCTCTCAACTACATTCTTTGAGTACAACACCAGCCTCATCTGCCACAAATTCCGCGTCTGGGGAGCCCTACGTGTCGAGACCCGTCAACTGCGTTTGAGGCTTCGTTCGGCCAAGCAGAGGCACATCCAGGAGTGCTTTGAGAACATGGACGCTGGTGCTTCAGCATCCACCATCCTGCATAAACTGCGGCCGATCACGGGCCCATCGAACCTCAAGAAGCTGAAGAAGGCTGCTTTACCATACCTACAGAAAGAGGATGGAACCCACTGCCTTGATCCCCATGACGCTAGGGAGGAATGGATCAATTTCTTCCAGCAGATGGAGGGCGGAGTACGACTCTCCAAAGAAGAGCAGCATGATCAATGGGTTCAATCGCTCGCAGCCTTCCGTAGCCAGCGACTTCAAGTTCATGTTACTGAACTCCCAACGCTTCTGGAGCTGGAGCGAGCTTTTCGCAGAGTCCAACCCAACAAGGCTGTGGGCCCGGATGGAATACACCCAGCAGTTTGCCACAGTGCACCTTGCAGGATGGCTCGGAAGTGCTTTGCACAACTCATGAAGTTTTACCTTCATGGGCAAGAGGCCCTGATCCACAACGGCGGCTGCCTTCACCCCATCTGGAAAGGGAAAGGCCCTATGGACGTTTGCAGTTCATTTCGCAGCATCCTTGTATCCAGTCACGTGGGTAAATGCCTACATCGGGCGATCCGCCAGACACAATGCACTTTCTTCGAAAGATACCTACAAGCCGAACAGCTGGGAGGGCGGCGTCATGTGCCTGTGACCCTAGGGGTCCACGCCGTTCGAGCCTATCTTCGACAACACGCTGCTCGTGGACATTGTGTGGGCCTGGTGTTCCTCGACCTCACAGAAGCATTCTATCAAGTCCTTCGCCCACTGGCTATCGGCGGCCCGGTAGAAGACAACACCATCCTGCAAATGGCTCATCGTCTGGGGCTTCCAGATGACATCATGCACGACCTTTGGCAACATCTGGCAGACCCACATGCCACGGAGCTCGCCAGATTGCCTCCTCAAGCTCAACATGCACTACGAGCGCTACATAGTGAAACACATTTTCATCTACGTGGACAGGAGGACGTTTGCAAGACCAAGGTCGGTTCCAGACCGGGCGACTGCTTTGCGGATGTAGTGTTCTCCTATCTTTGGGCCAGGCTCTTGCATGGCTTACAAGCTCGACTACATGCCGTTGGAGTGGACAACCAGATACCGTATCAGGAGACTTTCGAACCCTTCGAGGTCTCTGAGGCCGACCAGACGGCGGATTTCATTGGGCCCACGTGGATGGATGACCTTTGCCTTTGTGTCTCTGCGGAGGATGCTCTTTCTCTCGAGCGCAAAGTATGTCTCAGTACATCTTTGCTTCTTGCCTCATGCAGACAGTTCGCAATGACGCCAAATCTCAAGGCTGGCAAGACAGAAATCCTTCTGTCTTTGCGCGGACGGCACTCCCACAAGGTCAAGAAGCAGTACTTTGGGCCGAATGCCTCGAGACGCATGGGCATCCTGGACGAGGACACCACTCACCATGTACAAGTTGTTAGCAGCTATCAGCATTTGGGAGGTTTGGTGCACCACAAGCAAGACAACGTGGCAGAGATCAGGAAAAGGATTGCGATTGCTCACACCACTTTTTCACAACACAGAAGAACCTTGCTGCAAAACCCATGCCTCAGTCTACACCGAAGAATTGAACTGTTTCGTAGCTTAGTTCTCAGTCGGTTGCTCTACGGTGCAGAGTCATGGACGATATCCACCAAGCAATTCAAGCACTACTTGCACTCAGCCATCATCCGGTTGTATCGACGCCTGCTGCCAGCCTCGCGTGATCAACATGTGACAGATGACGAGGTACTATGCAGCACCGGCTTGCCTTCACCAAGCGAGCTTTTCCGGGCCTGCCGACTTCGATATTTGTGCACGCTTTTTGCCTGCCATGACGTGATACCCTGGGGCCTCCTGAATGCAGACACAGCCTGGCTGGAGCTCATGAGAGATGACCTCACCTGGATGTGGCGCCAACTTCGTGGAGCTTCCTCGCTTTTGGATCCCGTTGACCACTTCGAGTCCTGGAGATATTTGCTCCGCTACCATCGACCATTTTGGAAACGCTTGGTTAGAAGGGCATGTGAACACGCCAGTCTCCAGCGGTCCAACCATCACATGGTCATGGCGGCGCACCACCGCATCCTTGAGCAACTGATCGAGTCTGGCCATCTCTCGCCAGAGGTTCTTCGACCAACTCCTGCTGCGTTGCCTGTGGGGCACCTGTATGGCTGCATGGCTTGCCAGAAGTCCTTCACCAGCAGAGGAGGTGAAGGTGCTCACATGTTCAAGGTGCACGGCATCCGCAACAAGGTGAGGCAGTTTTTCAACACCACCACCTGTCCAGCATGTTTGAGAGAATACTTCACGCACGGCAAGGTCAAGAATCACCTTCTCCACTCCGAGCGTTGCCGTAGGATCCTCATTGGCCGTGGCCATCGAGTTGAACCAGTAGGAGGATGGGGGTCAAGACAAGATCGAGAGCTAGCAGCCGCCCACGACTCGCTGCTGCCTCCCATGCAGAGTGAAGGTCCCATGCTTCCCACTGTCCTTGGAGAGGAAATCCTGCATGACCTCATTTTGGGGGAAGATATCTACCAAGCTTTGGCAGAGCGTGGGGATTTGCCTGAGCAGATGACCATTGAACAGATTATCCGTAAGGTGATCCAGGACCGCAGTGTCTCATGGTCTACATGCTCAGCCACTCTATCTTACCTCCTCGAGCACATCACCCATGAGGATGCGGAGACCATCGGGCTCGCATACCAGGACGTCGTGGCGACCCTGCAGTACCTCAACACAGGCGATGCGTGGTGCTTTTTGGGTGCAGTTCACGGGCGTGAGACTGCGTATGACGCTATCGATCAGCTTCACAGCATTCTGGCTCAGGAGAGTGAGGTCCAGCGACAGGCACCGCTCTACTCTGGACCCCCTAAGGCTTTTGGGCGACATCGTTATGTGCTTCATGCCTTTTCAGGTCGGCGGCGAGTAGGGGACCTGCAGTACTTCCTGGACCGTGCGAGTGCCACTGAGGAGAACTTTGTCATCCATACCATCTCCTTAGATTTGGTCGTGGACGCTTGCTGGGGAGATGTGAGCAGGATTGAGACGAGACGCTTCTGGCTCCAGGGCATCCGGGAGGGATACGTCACTTCCCTCCTTGCTGGGCCGCCCTGTGAGACTTGGTCTAAGGCCCGTGGGGTCACCATTCCGGGCCGCCGTTGCCCACGGGTGCTCCGACTCCTCGAAGCGCTTTGGGGCATGGACTCCCTCAGTCTTAGAGAACTCCGACAACTTGGAGTTGGCAACCTCCTGCTGCTCTTCACGGTCGAGGCGCTAGTTCACCTAGCACTAGCTGGAGGCCACGGCATTTTGGAACACCCGGCCATGCCAGACGAGGAAGAGAAAGCATCCATCTGGCGTTTGCCTTTGATCTCCACGTTGCTCACATGGCCTGACTTTCGCATTGTCCGTTTGGCCCAGGGTCTGTGGGGTGCGGCATCGCCTAAGCCCACGATGTTGCTTGCACTCAACATGCCAGAGCTCGAGCACCACCTACGTGCGTGGCAGACCGCTCGGGATCTTCCTCGTGGTGCTTCGATTGGTGTGGACGCGTCGGGCCACTGGGCGACTACGAAATTGAAAGAGTACCCGCCAGCCTTATGCAGCGGACTCTGTTCAGCGTTTTTGGGGGTGCAGCGTACACATGATACGGATCCCACCCTTGTGATTGGCCAAGAGTTTATCTCCCGTAGTCTGGCTCTTGAGATTTCAGACTACGGTGACGTGATTGGTAAGGATTACGCTGGCTAAATCACCTAATCTTCTGTACAGATTTTCACAGGGCCGAAAGGCCGCTTCGCAATGGCCGCATCGAAAGATACTTTGTGCCACTAGCAAAAAAATAATATATATATATCCCAACTTACATTGGGTAAAAAACATCTCATTGCATCATACATCCCAATTTTTCAGCCAGGTGCGCCGTCTCTCATCCCCACAGATAGTACCGGTGCAGCAGGCCCTGGAGATGTATTGATTTGTTCTTTGGTGGTTGTAGGATTTTTTCCGCAGGTCTTGCAATTCAGACAGCACATGGATATCTATCTATCTATCTGTCTGTCTATCTATCTATCTATCTATCTATCTCTCTATCTATCTATCTATCTATCTATCCATCCATCCATCCATCCATCTATCCATCTATCTATCTATCTATCTATCTATCTATATATATATATATATAACAGCGATTTAATAGGTATATAACCCACGAACAATAGTTATCATGGAACATAATGGAATTTCTCTGATTTCTTGTGATTTTAAAAGGGATTTTTGTAGAAGCCAACATGGTGACACTCTTGCAGAAAGAATGGTGGTGTTTCTGGGTCGTTGTTTTGGGCAAGAACAGGGTCCCCACGGTCAGCGGATTTGAACACATGTCCAACTCAAAAATGGTGCAACCAAGAAAACAAAACAAAAAAACATGTGGGGGGATTTCCAGAAATGGAAGATTTCCCCAATAGCTGGATGGGTTGTTTCATGGAAAATCCTACTAAAAATGGATGATTTAGTGGTACCCCTATTTTTTTGGAAACGACATGTTTTTTTGATTCTGTCAAAGGGCTAAAAAAAGGGGTACCCCCTGGTGATTTATCCTCTTCACTTCCCCATTCACAATTTGACTGGTTGGTGGTTTGGAACAGCCTTGGCCCAAATCCCTGACAGTGGGAGGTGTCGCCCGCAAAAGTTTGGGAGGTCGAATCCAATGTTAGGTTCTGCTGACCAACAATGTTTTTCGAATTTGTTTGTCCCAACATGGACATGCCTTAGCAATGGAGCCACTGTTTCAGTTGTCTTAGACAACATGATCTGGTGTGATAATGCTGGTGTTGGAAAGGCCATCCCTGGGGGGCAGGTGGTACGTGTTTGTGGACTTATCCCCCCTGAAGCCGCAGGTGCATCAAAGATTTCGGTTTTGGGAGCGTCCTTTCTGTCTTGTGGTGCTGTGGTTGACTTGGTGCTTGATGCCAGTTGCACTGTCCTTGCCCACAAACCTCTGTGTGTTGACCATGTCTTCAACTTGGTGGAATTGTGCTCTGGCGTTGGACTTTCGTCTGTTGGCTTTGGTAGGGCTGGCTTCACACACAAGTGTTCTGTTGAGAAGCAACCTAAGCTGGCCGAATTGCACCTCCAGTTGCACCCTGGCGTTCCAGTTGTCTGCTCTGATGTTGCCCTGGACTCCACTGCTGGTTTGATCTTTGAACATTGCCCTGACCCTTGCACCCTCATGTCCGGCATTGCATGTCAACCATACTCCAGAGGAGGAGCACAACAAGGAGGCCTGGATAACAGATCAGCCTCATTGCCAGGTACTTTGCGCATGTTGTACTTGTTGCAGTCCCCGGCACTTGTCATGGAATGCGTTGTTCCTGCCAGAGACAACTTGTTTGTGCGTGGCCATCTGCAGGCACTGTGTGACCAATTGGGGTACATCATTGTGGACTGTGCATTGAAGCTTGAGGAAGTGTGGGCAGCTTGTCGCTACAGATGGTGGGTTGTGGCCACACACCCATGTGTTGGACCTGTCAACATCCCTGAATACCCCAAAGGGTCAACTTTGGTCGTCCGTGATCTCATGCCTTACGTACATAGGTGGCCACCCGAAACCGAAGAGCAGCTGATTTTGCAGGAATCTGAATTGGCGAAGTTCCAACTGGCAGGTCAGACTTTGCGCCAACATCAGGTGAAACCTGATGCAAAGCTGCCAACTGCACTTCATTCCTGGGGGAACCAAACAGTGCCTTGTGCTTGTGATTGCAGGACCACGGGTTTTAGTGACGAGCTGCTTTCATCCAAAGGTGTCTATGCACAGTTGCTACAACTGCCAGCCACTGACTCGCAGGCAGGAGCTTGGAGGCACTTGCATGTCCTTGAAGTTTCTATGCTCAATGGGGTACCTTTGGATTTGAGATGGGGAGACAACCATCGTTTGAATTTGTGTGCGGTTGGCCAAATGGCATCCCCAATGCAATCGATTTGGTTGGCAGCTGCCTTAGCCCGTCATGTTCAGACTTTGTTCACCACAATCACCCCAACGGACCCCATGACCCTTTTGCAGGGCTTGAAAAATGATGTCATGCGGCAGTGTCGAGACCTTTTTCCCAATCTGCCCAGCCAACCATCGACCCCTGACAGATGCCAGCTTGTTGTGCAGCAACCAGGACAACAAAATTGGACTTTGGCCTTTCCTCCGACAGCTGTGGTGAAGGATCTCATTGTTGCACATGGCAGGTTGAACCGGGTCCCTTTTGATGAAATCTGGATCAAAGATCAACATGACAACTTGGTCACACATGAGGTTCATCTTTCACGATTTACCACTCTTTCCATGGGTCGGTATGAAGATCTTTTTCCCATTGATGATCCTGAGCCACAGCCAGAACCATGCAACGCCCCTATGGACTTGGACTTGGGGACTCAACTGGATGTGCTCTCTGATGCCGGCGACCATGTATCACCACATGACCCTGCCAGTCGCATGTCCCTGCCAATGGTTGAGCCAGTTGAAGTCATGCCTGGTACGTCTGACGCCTCTGTCCATGGACTTCTGAACCTGACCCCGCCTCAGCTGCTTGACATGCTTCCTCCCATGGTTTTGGACTTGGATTTGTGTGCCAGTATGCGTCGTCCGTCTGTGTCTGTCGACATGCGCATGCAGTTGTTGGCCAAACAGGATCATGTGTGGGCTGATGATGAGATGTGGTGGCAATTGCAGGTGATTGCTGCCACTGAGCCCCGAGACATTGCGTTCCTGGATCCATTACTTGCACACACATGGTTGTCCACGGGTACTGCTGATGCAATTCATGTCTGGGCGTCTCGTCAACCCAAATTCACCCGTCTTGTTTCAGCCGTGCTCCATGGTGGCCATTGGACTCCTTGTCTTTGGGTTTTCAAGCCGACAACAGTTGAGGTGATCATGTGGGAACATGAAGACACGGACGTCAATGGACTTAACCCCTTGCATGGTTTGCTCAGCCAAGCTTTTGGACTTACTCAGTTTTGCATTTCCTGCACCCGCCGTAGTTTTGGCAGTCAACTCTGTGGAGCTGCAGCCATTGCTTTCCTGCAACATCGCCTCAATGGTTTGACTTTGCCCGCCAGCCAAGACCAACTGCAAAGAGGATTTCCGTATGTCGCATGAGGGTTTCCTGCAAATGCCACGACCGTGGTGCTGGGGTGCCGGTGTCCCTGATGTTGTGTCCTTGGTCGGAAGTTTGCTTCAACAACATGGAGTCCCAAACAATGCTGCCGCCAACAGGGCAAAGCTCCTTGTGCAGAGCCTAGGCATGGAATCAATCAAGCAAGCAGTCCAAGGTGCATCACCCTGGAAAACGCTTAAGAGCCTGGCCAATCAGCAAACACCACCGTTCCAGTTGGTGCTTCCTGATGAACTGAACTTAGTGGCCCAAGATCGAAAGACCAAGAAGCAGAAATCAGCCAAGATGCCAAGCAACAAGATTGCACCGTCCAAACCGATGGACATTGACCCAACAAAGTTGAGCTTGGCACAGGATACTTTCCACATGGACTCAGGACAGCCAGCACCTCAGCTTCCAGCATCTCAGGTTGGACCACTAGCAGTTGGAGTTGCCTTGGTGACAATTCAGGAAGCATTACCATTCTTGCAGTCTGGTCAGTTGCTTACTGCTAAGAGTTTGGCCTTGCTTGTGATCAATGGACCAGATGAACTGCCGACCAAGCTTTCCTGGACCTCAATCCGTTTTGCTGCTTGCTGTTCCGTCAATCAACAACCAGTTTTGTTGCATGGGCATTTGGTCCAACTGGGTGCTCAGCCAATTGTCCCTGTCTTTACCAAGGAAAGTCCGGGTGTGCATGATGTCCCTGTCACTTGTGCTCGTGTCACCGTCTTTGCAGATCAGTGGCCCCAAGACTGGAGTAGCTTGGCCGATCATCCGTTCAAACAGGTCCTTCAGGTACTCTTGCCGTTGCAAACATGCAGGTCCGAAGATTGTCAGTGCGGTCGATGGCACCCAGATGGCATGGATGGCAACCAGGATGTCATTCTTGACGTTTTTCGCAGACAGTTTTTCACAGAAGCTGGAAGACCGACAAAGCATGCTCAGGCCAATCACTTCAGTGTACAGATCCGTTATCTCAAATCTCAAGAGCTTGCCCTGCTGAGGCTGTCAGGTCAGAATGGTGTTTTCATTGAGCCTCGGATCCAAGACGCATCATCTCCTTCTGATGAGTTTCAGGTGGTTTGGCTCCCACAGGCCAGCTTTGCCTCTGCACAGCACCAGCTGCAATGTGAGCCGATGGGTCTGGGATTGGCACGCTCTGGCCGAAGATTTGGACTACGGGTTGCTGCCAAAGACTTCCAAGCACTGTTCCAAAAGCTGAAACCAGAAGGCCAGTTTTTGTCTCCAGGCACCAGGCAAACATGGCATTGCGGACCTTTCCCGTTCGGCAGTGATCGCAAGTCAATTGGTAGGGTTTTTGCTGAGTGGAAATGGCAAGCACGACCTTTGCAGCCGGCGAAGCCAATTGCCAATGGTGTGATGTGGCTTGTTCAAAGCGTCACAGATCCCCCGCAGACGGTGTACAACATGCAACATGGCCAGGTCATGATTTCCAAGTGTGACTCCGTCCGTGCGGGGATGGCTGACAACGGCACGGTCATTGGGCCCCAGAGCACCATCGAGCTTTGTGCCTCCAACACGGCTGTTGACCCATGGACTGTGCAAGACCCATGGCAGCAAGCTTTGAATCAGGTACCCATTCAGCAGCCTGCTCCAATGAACTCACACATAATATGGAGTTGGAGGATCGCCTGGAACGTAGTATCCTGGAAAAGTTGCCTCTGGAGCGCATGGAGACTGACCACACTGAGGACAGGCTTCAGCTTATGGAGCGTCAACTTCAGCAGTTGGCGCATCAACACCAGACCCTTGAGAGCACCGTGCATGAGCACCATCGCCAGAATTCGGCACAGGTCCAGACTCCAGGCCCAGATGCTTTCACAAATGGAAGTTCAACGTTCTCAAATGGCCAACATGTTCGATGATCAGATGTCGAAGCTGGAGACCATCTTGTCGAAGAAAGGCAGGTTCGAATGAAAAGTTGGTAACCGCAGTGACCAGCCCAAGCCTGCGGCGAACCATTGTTTCCGGGCACCAAGGTTTTTGCTATGGTTTTTCATGCTCTTTAGTATGTTTTGGGGTTCCGAATGTCGCATTGGTGAGGCCAAAACACCAGGCCCAACAGCCATTGACCGCACATGGACCCTTGGGGTTTGTAATCCTTCTGGGTTACAGGGAAAAAGCGTTTTGTTATCCGGCATTGACTGTGATGTCATCAATGCAAGTGAGACACACCTCACAGCCACGGCACGTTCCATGCTACTTTCCAGCTTGAAGTCGCATAGCCAATACAATCATGTGATCACGGGCGCCTTGTCCCAAGCCCGCATCAACACAACTGATGCTGGCCAGTACACTGGGGTTGCTACAATTGCAAGAGTGCCCACCCGCGCACTTTGCGCTGCTTGGCCTCAGGACCTTTTTGAAACTGGACGGGTCCAAATCACAGGATCGCTCATCAACAATGTTTGGGTTTCAGGGGCTGTGATGTACGGGTACCCTCAAGGCAAGACCCACCAGAACGCTCAAAGCAGGTCAATTGAGATTTTGGACTTCCTCATTGACCACATGACTCAAGTGGCTACTGGGCCTAGATATCTTTGCGGGGACCTCAACCATGAAATGGATCAGCTTCCTAACCTCCACCGCCTTTTGGATTTGGGATGGAAAGAAGCACAAGACCTTGAGCACCTCCTCAATGGTAGTTTGCCTCAACACACCTGTAAGGGTTGCACCCGCAAAGACATGCTGTGGTTGTCCCCGGAGCTCATAACCAGTTTCCGCACTGTCAAGGTCGACCATGAAAGGTTTGCTGACCATTCTGTCTTGCGTGCTGAGTTTGATGTGGATGGGGCCTTTGCACAACGGTATCTGTGGCCCATGCCCCTTCCTGTTCCTTGGACTTCTGTTCCACCTATGGACTTTCCTTTGGACTTTTGTACCGGCAACCCCTCAGCCTTGTATCACGACCTGTGGACTGCTCGGGAGTGCCAGGCTCAGACGACCCTGCAACACCAATGGACTCCTCAAATGCAAGGCCGAGGCCAAAGAACAGCCCCCCTCAAACGGAAAGGATGGGCTGCTCCACCCAGGAAAGGACGAACCAGTGACTTCCAACCTGCGTTTCATGGTTACAATGTTCAACATTGTAGGTGGTTGCGGCAGCTTAGGCGTCTTCACAACTACCACAGGTGGGCTTCCACTCACTTTGGACTTGCAGTGGGAGACCAACAACTCCATGGACTTTTCCTTTGGCAGAGCATCTTGCGTGCACCTGGTTTTGGGTCTTCCTTTGCCGTTTGGTGGACTTCTCGGTATTGTGTTGGCCTTCAGGACCCTGGGGTTGTTCCAGCCACTCCGCCGTCCCCGGCTGTTGCTAAGATGTTGTGTGAGGCTTTCCTGGGGGAAGTCCGGGCCTTTGAGCGCACCCTTGCAGCAGCTAAGACTAAAGCCCAGTCCAATGCTCACCGAGCAAACCCAAACTTGATCTACCGTGACACCAAACGTCCCAGGCCTGAGCCTGTCACTAGTTTGCTGGTCACCAAGAAAACCAAGGTCACCGAACTCAGACCGGAAGACGGTGCAGTTCTGGTGGATAGGGCCGTGGACTTTGATGTCAGCGTTCCTTTGTTGGTTGATACACACCCTGTTGAGGCAATCCATGTTTCCGAAGATGCACTGTACCTTGCAGACTTGTCCCATGTTACTGTTGGGTCGGATGTTTGTCAGTCTCAGCCGGTAGGTCGCCTTGATGATGTTTTTGCTGCCTTCCACACCCAGTGGAAAAAGCGATGGTGCAAGCATGACACGGTGCCAGCAAGTCGATGGGAACAGCTGATTGCCTTTGCTCGCCATCACTTGCCGCAGTGGCCGATACCGGATACACCCATCACACCTGCACTGTTGCGAGCTGAAGCTGCCTCCAAAAAGCCCAAAGCAGCCACCGGACTGGATGGTGTTAGCAGAGCTGACATCCTGCAGGTGGACAACAATGTTTTGCAGAGCCTGTGCAACATATACCAGAGGGCAGGATGTGATGGCTGCTGGCCTGAACAAATTGTCACCGGCAGTGTGGCCTCTTTGGCCAAACGGGAGGGGGCATGTCAGACCCAAGACTATAGGCCTATTACAGTCTTTTCCATGGTCTATAGGGTTTTCAGTTCCATCCAGGCCCGAGCCCTCCTGGATCATGCCCATCACTGGTGCCATGCTGATATTTACGGAAATAGAAAGCATCACCAGACTGCCCAGCTCTGGCGTGTGTTGGTCACAAGCATCCAGCAAGCTTATGACCAGAAGGCGTGTTTGAGCGGCCTGACCGCCGACATCGAGAAGTGTTTCAATTGCCTTCCTCGGCTTCCCATAGTTGCAGCAGCCCTCCATGTCGGTACTCCCATGTCCGTCATGACTGCCTGGTGTGGAGCCCTGGCCACGATGTCCCGCCGTTTCAAGGTCAGAGACTCATTCAGCGACGGCTTTGTGACAAGCACAGGCCTAGCCGAAGGCTGCGCCTTAAGCTGTTACGGTATGCTTTTGTTGGACGACATCATGCACCGATACATGGCAGCTCAGTATCCCTTGCTGCGGGTCTTAAGCTTTGTGGACAATTGGGACTTCCTCACCTGGAGTGCTGATGCTGCCATTCAACAGCTGACGGCCCTGTTGGAATTTGCCAACTTGACAGACCTGACTGTCGATCGGGAAAAGACCTACGCCTGGTCTACATGTGCACAGGTGCGGACTGCTCTCCGAGGCCAGGGCTTGAAAGTCATGCATGCCACCAAAGACCTGGGGGCGCATGTTGCCTTCTCCCGCAAGCGCACCAACCGGACGGTCACCCAGAGACTTGATGACCTCAGCCAATTTTGGCCGAAACTGCGCAGCAGTAAGGCTGGCTACCAGTCCAAGCTCCGAGCTTTGCGTACAGTTGCATGGCCCAGAGGCCTCTTTGCTGTGGAGAGTGCACCCGTTAGCGACAGTACATGGTTGACCATCAGGCGCCAGGCCAATCATGCCCTCCAGATGGATAAACCCGGTGTCAACCCCTTGCTCATGTTGGGCCTTGTTGAAGCTTATGCTGACCCGGAGTTTGTTGCCCTGATCCGTACTGTTGCGGAGACCAGACTGAATTGCCCATTGGATTTCTGGGCCAGTGACCTCTATCCTTTGGCAGCAGGTTCATTGGACTCTCCTCCGTCTTCCCCTGCGGCTGTTCTGTTAGGTCGTGTGCAGAAACTTGGGATCTCCGTTCACCCCTGTGGGCGGTGGCATGATGCGGTGGGAACTTTTCATCCTGCGTTGGTCAACTTTACCGAGCTTTGCCACCGTCTTCAATGGCATTGGAATCACTATGTCTCTGCTTCCGTCAGTCACCGGAAGGACTTCACTGGTCTTCAGTGTGTGGACACGACTCTCACCCGTCGTACACTGGCTGCTCTTCCGCCAGATGAACAGTGTCTCTTGTGTCTGAGCCTTGCTGGTGGACTTTTCACACAGAATGCTCATGCCCATTGGAATGAGGGCGATGGTTGCTGTAAATGGTGCGGGATGCCTGATTCCTTGCACCATAGGTACTATGAGTGTTGCAACACATTGGACTTGCGAACCAAACTTGCGCCTGAGGTTGTTGCATGCCTTGGACTTTTGCCTGATGCCATGGTCTTACGCAGTTGGGCAATCTTGCCGCCCACTCACTTGGCTTGGCTTCGCTTGTTGGACTCCATCCCTAGTGCTGTTCCTTCCTTGGCGGGGTGTTTTCGTGTTGGTGTGGTCAATGAGGTTTTTACTGATGGCTCCTGCTTGTGGCAGTCTGACCCTAGCCTTCGTGTGGCTTCGTGGGGTGCGGTCCTTGCTGGCACGTTCAGTGACACTTGGAATTTCCAACATGGTGGTGTCTTGGGTGCGGGCCCCGTTCCTGGTTTGTGCCAAACGGCGTACCGTGGTGAACTTTTCGCTTTGGCCTTTGTCCTCCACCATGCTTCACTGGGCGGCTTCAGGGTAAAAATCTTTTGTGATAACTTGGGGGTTGTAAATAGGTACCACCTGCTTACTCAGGGAAAGGTGATGCTGAAACCCAATTCAGCGAGCGCGGACCTCTGGAACTGGGTGCTGCAATCACTGGAGAGATTGGGAACTGGCATGGCTGAAGTGGTTAAGGTGCCTGCGCACCGCAAGTTAGCACAGGCGAAGACCCGCCGGGAAGCTTGGGTCATTTGGCACAACAACATGGTTGATGGCGTTGCCAAACACGCCAATTTGGATCGCTCAGCAGATTTCTGGACTTTCTGGTCAACACATGCGAGGTTGACTGCTGCCGCGCGAGTTTTGCACAGCCAGGTCTGTGCTCTTCATGTGGCAGTTGCAAAAAGGAGTGTTCAGACAGAAGCGGCTACAACGTTGGATGAGGCCCCGTGCCCGGCTCCAAAACCACTGCGAGTCTTTGAAGTGAAGTTTCAGGTGGACACCTGGACAGGTGACTTGCCGCTGACCTTCACCAACGAATATGGCACTGGACTTGCTCACCGAATTGCCCGCTGGTGGAAACACCGTACTTGCAGTACGGAGGCTGGCGAAGTTCGATGGATTACCTTTGCCCACCTCTATGTGGACTATCAATTGACGTTTGGATGCCCTGGACCAATCAAATCAGGACGGATCTGGTTGGACGCCTTCACAAGGCGCTATTTGGATCCAGAGCAGCACAGTTTTTTGACTCGATTGAAATGGTTCCGCAGATGCTTGAAGGTGTTTTGGAAGGCCACCAATCAACAGATTGGGATGGCCCAATGTCGGGCGACTGGTGATGCAATTCAGAGTTTTGTGCAGGCGGCATCTTTGAAGTGGCATCAGCCAAGTTGGCAAGGTGCTGAGCACTGGTTAGCCATGGAATGCAATGGCCCGTGCATTCGTGGCACAAAAGCGCTGCAGTCGTTGCCACTGGTGAAACCACTGGTGCGCTACGCACTGCCTCTTGACGCTTCAGGTGCGTCTCAGGGCATGGACCATGCCTAGCTTGACATCAAAAGGCCTCGCTCCATCTCCAGAGCAGGCCGCGGCCGGAAACGTGTGGAAACGTGGTGGTTTGGAACATGAATTTTATTTTCCCATATATTGGGAATAATAGTTCCAACTGACGTTCATATTTTTTCAGAGGGGTAGGTCTACCACCAACCAGTCTATGCGGGTCGATCATTGTGAAATGTGGATACCAACTGACTAATATGTTGTTGAAACATGTTGAAACCACCAACCAGTGATGTTTTCCCTTTGCCCTATTTTTTATTGCACATTTGGGTACAGTCTTTTAGCGCGCGACTGCACATTGAGGGTTGATATCCTCGTTGCTTACTCCCCAATTTCTGTAGTTTATAGCTTGTTGTGCCGACTATGGTCAGAGGGTATCTCATCCAAATCCAAATGATTAAAATATGCATACAATGTGGGGCCCCTTAGATAGCTAAGTTGCTTATAAGTGGCTGAATTATATGGTTTATGTTTAGATTTAGATACTTATAGTATTCATGGGGTTTATAAACCAAATTATAATGTGTGGGGGCCCCACATTGTAGGTTGTATTGGAAAAGCATTGGTTTTAGCAGGGCTCCAAGCTCAGGCCAAAATATGTCTTCCAAGTCAGCTCAAAGTTTGCCCCCATTCCAAGCTGATATGCAATATGGGGATTTCCATAAATGGGGGATCCCCAAAATGGATGGTTTGTTTCATGGAAAATCCTACTAAAAATGGATGATTTAGTGGTACCCCAATTTTTTTGGAAACCTCCATGTGTTGAGTGTATGAAATCCCGAGAAGTAAGATGTGGAAAAAGGTTTCACCAGAGTCACCAGAGAAGGGAAATGACTGCTGTTGATCTACAAGGTGGTGCCACCCCCAGTTATAAATTGGTTATGAACACATAAAAACATATAAAAACTATAGATATATCAGACCAACAAAAACCATAGTTATTGGCTATAAACCATAGTGAAATTGGAATTATAAAACTATCTTGGGGGCACCACCTTGTAGATGATGCCGAAGCCAGAGATCGCTGGCTGGCGGAAGATCCTGATTTCATCTCCCGCGAGCGCGAGACCCTTTGTGCCGGATGAATATCAGGCAGCATTCAATGGATTGGTTTAAGGGAAAATCTACAGGAAACCATAGATTTTCGAATTAAATATGGGGTTTTCCTGTAATTTTTCCCATAAACCAATCCATTGAAGCATTTGATATTCTTGGGGAAAATGGGAAAATGGACTGGCTCTGGAAGAATTTGCGGCATCACTTGGCCGATGAAGGAACTGACATCGCCGGTCGCATTGTTCAATATATGGCTGAACGTTCTAGCTGGAGGGCAGACAAACTGAACCACGCTGAAGGCAGACGCAAGGAAAAAGACACAAACCCACCATGTGTAGATGTTTCTTGGAGGGAAACAACGGTTTTTTTTCCGGGTTTTGCATGTCCATGCTGCACCTATTAACGCAGGAGGCGGAAGATGCAGAGGTGTCAGAAGTGGAAGAGACGGCGAAGGAAAAGGAAGACCGGGAATTTCTGCTGCAGCACAGCTGCAGAGGGTCAAGGCTGGTCGTGGTGCCCCATAGTTTGCAAAGTTAGTAAACATAAGTCCAAGAACTAGTGGAAGGGTTTTTGCTATATATATATATATATGAAGTAACCTTTAACTGAGGAGGGCTGCCAAGAGTTGTGGCTGGTGGGTTGTACATATTCAACAATGGGGTGGTATTAAGCATGTAGGCAACCAAAGACCAAAGAGTAATGGCAGTTGTGGCTGGTCATGGTGGCAATCAAATATCTCTTGGGTTCAAATGTGCAGCATACATGGAGGTGTAAACATGCAATCAAAGTAATGGAAGTAGAAAGAACACTCACATAATCAATCAGCAAAAAAGGGAGACTACTAGCATTAGGAGTGACCACACAAAAATGGCCCTTTAGCAGTTTTAAATCAGTAAGTCACCCTATTATTATTATTATTATTATTACAGTTCATGATAAGCGCATTATCTCACAGTGATTTCACCATAATTGTGGGATTGACCACCAAACAGTGATTGCCAAAGACTGGGCGACTGGGACAGCCCAAAGAAAAGGCTGGAGCTTGATGGATTATGATGCCTTTTCTTGCATAAACTTGCACGTGGGTTATGGAGCCGGTTGGCTGTTTTAGGTCATGTTAGTAAAGCAATGATAAACCACCCATATGTGTAGATATATATATATATATAAATATATACACATATTGATGGTTTTTATCATTGTTCATCGCCCATTTTCATGTGAAAATTCAGGGTGGTTTACTGTTGCTTTACTCACATTAATTGTTGTAAACATGTTCAAACATATTTAGGAGGCCCAATGACGTTGTTGATTTCCCACTATTTGGCACGATGATCTTATTTGACACGCCAATATCTAACTTCTTTTATGACAACTTTTGACATGGCTTGAAGCCAGCGACCAGGGTTTCATAAAACATACCTTATGGTTATTGAACGTAGCAAACTGCGAATAATCATGTTATCATCGAAATCAATGGGCAATTTTCCCAAGAACACTGTTAAATCACCAGGGGGTATTTTTCATTTTCCGTTCAAATACCTTTGCACAGCCCTGGTTACTTTGAGCATCGAAATATCACCTACCAATGCGTGTTTTTCGGAGTTGTCACCGCGCCAAGGAAAGCCTTAGAAGTGACCAAAGCGCAAATCAAAGCACATAATCGCCCCTTGGCGTCAGATTTCCTGGGCATTCCTGGGGAAGATATTTATTTGTTGCATTTTGTTGCAAGATATCTAAGATATCTAAGGTTGGCTACAATTTTCCCAGTCCTAAATGGGAGAAACTGGGTAGGGTTTTGCCAACAAAACTTTTTAGATTAAATTGGCTAAGATGAGCTCATGTTGGGTTGATGAATTGAATGAACATTGCATATCTGTTGGGTGGAAAAACAACTGGTATGTAGTTTTACCACTGGGCGAATGATTTAATTTCACTTGACTGTTCACTTGGATGCTGCTGATAATGAAGCGCCAAAGGTTTACAAGCAGAAATGGGTTACATATCCAACGAATGGTTTTCAGTTTGGGTTGTGTATATCCCATCCATAAGACCGAACAACAATTTTCTAAGTATACAAATGGCTATGGATCAATACCTATACATACCATTTTGGGGGGGATGAACATCCATTTACCAGCTATTTTGATGTTCACCAGGGGTACAAGGTTTTGACACACTGCCAAATGAGTATTATTTACCCTAGGGTCAGCCAACAAAGCTTAGAAAACCAACGGTTTCCCGACGAAAATAGTTTACAAATGGTTGATGTCCTGCATCTATGTCATAATTGAACATGTGTACCCTCTGGTAATGACTAACATAGCTATTGAAAATGGCCATAGACATAGTGAGTTCTCCCATTAAAAATGATGATTTTCCATAGTTTTTTGTATGTTTACCAGAGGGTAAATGTACTCTACAGTTATGGCCATTTATTAGTTATAACTGGTTATTTCTATGGGATTATACATTCTATAAATGGGGTTTTCTTAGTACTTATAACTAATAGCCATGGCCATAACTCTACTAAATTATTGGGAACATATATGATTTACCTCGGGCTGAAGACCAGAAAGATGAGAGCCATTTCCTTCGTAAACGGTGACGGGTCCACCTATTCCGAAAATGGAAATTTTGCCTGATAATATAGCTGGGTTTTGTCGTATTTGTTTCTCAAAATCTCAGTTTCATCATCCTACTTTCCATGAAACTACCTTAAACAACACAATGAGTCGAAATTTCACATTTTCGATTTATTGGAGGGACCTACAAGTATTAGACCTATATATGAATCCAGCGCTAAATTTCAGGGTACCCCCAAGTCGGGCCATGGCCATGGCCATGGCAGGACGTGTGGCTGGCACTGTGATCATGGCGATGTTAGCTTTCGTGATTCTGCTCTGTGGTGTCGCTTTCTTCTTTGGTCGAAACTTGGGCGAAATATGTGACGGGTGGTGGTTTGGTTAAACTTTGGAGATCGGAGATAAGAAAGTCACACGTTCCCCATGTTGGTCAAGATATGCTGTTGAATCATATTTAATCATCAACCTGGTCAAGATCCACTTTGATCATGTGGTTTCAATCCAATCTGGCGGTTTGGAACATGAATTTTATGACTTTCCATTCAGTTGGGAATCTCATCATCCCAACTGACGAACTCCATCATTTTTCAGAGGGGTAGGTATACCAACCACCAACCAGTAATGACTTGATCGTTACTGGGATGATGGTTAGGATTCAGCTGGTCGATTCTCATTTGGCAACATACATATCTGGAGGTTTACATCTCCAATAACTTTGCTTTATGGTAGTTATAACTACGGTAACGACATTTAAATATGTGGAGGGCGGGTCAGACCGCAAGGCCCGGGAGGTAGTATAAAATACCAACTTAGAACGTTTGGGGACCCCACATTGTGTGTATATATATATATGGAGGTGTCCGATTCGTCATAGGGATACCCCCAGTTATCATCTATTTTATAGACGGATTTTCCATGAAATAAACCATCAAGTTGGGGCATCCCCCATATGGGCGCCCGTTCACAGCGGCTTTTGTCGTTTGAAGCATCACCAAGACTGAGATGAAGACTTCAAGCGACAAAAGCATCATGTGTTCTTTGTCAAAAGTTGTATGTCCATAACTCAGGGAATCGTAAGTAGTCAATAAAGCATTAATAGTGTAAGTGTTATCAAACGTTATAATAGATGATGCCACTGTAAATTGGAATATGAGCTCTACTGGTAACTACCCTACCATGGCTATGAAAACCATTGTTATGGAGATATGTTATCAATAGATTCAATGGTAGATACAACAATGGTATTGGTATCAACCCTAAATCATCATTTGTTTGTGATATTTTCCATTATAAACCATCCAGCAGGAACCCCCCCATATTTGGTATCTACCATTGGACCATGAAAACCACCCAGGACCCATTCCATTCCATTCCATTCGGTCCCTCTAGCACCCTCAGACGCAACCTTGCCAAGGAGTAGCAGTGGCTCAAGGCATCCAAAACGCTCTCCGAGGCCAGAAATGTTTCGTTGATAGAGAAAACGCAGTATTTTTAAGTATAGTTTAGTATCTTTAAGTTTTTTTTAAGTATCGTTAAGTATCATTAAGTATCTTTAAGATCATGGTCCACTGATCTATATGTAATAGTTTGTCATTAATATTATTGAATTTAAAGGATACACAGATAATATTAAAAGTAGGTCATCAGACCATGGATAGGGTTTTTGTTGGGGCGATATAATCATAGATCAGTTCAGCCATGAGGCCATGAACAAAAAACACTGGTTGATTGGCAATGATAGGAACTTATAGTACCTGAATTATTGGGGATTGTGAACTAAGCCATATTAGGAAAACCGTTTTCAACCAACTAAGTAGTGAGGATATGGGTATTTGTAATGGCTCAATGGAATAATTGGTGAAGGGTACCGGGTCAATCAATTGGATAGTTTAATACAAGGGTGCAAGTTCATTTGCGAAATGGGGATAGATATGGCAGTGGGTCAAGTTACCTTGTACCCCTTTTGTTCACATTAAAATAGCTGGGATTTATGGATGTTCATCCCCCTAGAAATGGTATTAATAGCTATTGATCTATAGCCGTATATTAACTTAACCAGCTGAAAGAAAAAGCAGGGTATCGATCTGTCGCTGGTGTTAAAACCCCCACCTGGTACAGTCCACTGCGTTTTTAGTTTGGTAGATAGGTTTTGATAAGTGGCTTCATTTCAAAATTCATTTCCTGCCATTTTGGTGGGAAAGTGGACGACTGTAATTTAAGAGTAAAGACATGTTTTCTTGCAAGGGCGCTTCTAAGACTAGCATACCATCACCACATTTGTTTCATGGTGTAATTTTTAATCCCAACGTTTGATGATAAAACCCGCATGTTTGAGTTGAAAATCACAAAAAAAAACAGTTTGTAAACATTGAATATATAGTTACCTATCATTAATCATTAACCATCATTAACCATCATTAACCATCATTAACCATCATTAACCATCATTAACCATCATTAACCATCCAAATGTTTGATGGTTGCATAGTTACTATTAGTTCAGTTAAGTATCCACATCTTTGTGACATCTACCTGGAGAAATCATCCCACTGATGGCGAAATCATCCCCTGTTCGATGTTCCCCGGTGAAGTCACCATGAATTTTGTTGGAAATCCCATATTTGGTGAATCCTCATGCTTCGATGCATCAAAATCATCATTTTTTTGCTTGGTGAAACCATCATTGTTGCTGGTGAAATCCGGGTGAAATGATCATTTTGAGATCCCTGGTTACCCTCTGGTTATGACTAACGTAGCGAACTGGAAAATCACCATTGTTAATGGGTAAATCCACTATTTCTATGGGCCATGTTCAATAGCTATGTTAGTGATCCCTGGTTAGATCTTCCCTACTTTGACTCGTGCATCTCCTCCAGGTCCACAGCTCACTGTGAAGCAAACCACCTTGTCCTTCAGGAGCGCGCAGAGCGCGCAGATGGCAACGGGGTTGCCCAGAAATGGTTGAATTATCCAGCAGAACATGGTGAAAACACAACATTGGTACAAGGTGGTGCCCCCACCAGTTATAAATTGGTTATAAGCACATAAAAACTATAGATATATCACCTATACACCATAGTTATTGGAGTTATGTTCACCAACTTAGCTATCTTGGGGGCACCACCTTGTACCCCCAAAAAAATTGGTCAAAAGACAACCAACGGGTTATTGATCCTGGATGCACATTGATGGGTAAAGAAATGGATTGCCCTCTAGTAAACTCTCAGGTCGCGAACTGGAACATCACCATTTGTTAATATGTTTAATAGGTAAATCAACGAACTAAATGTGCCATGTTCAATAGCTATGTTAGCCATTACCAGAGGGTAAAGTGGTGAAAAATGTCGGTTTTTCACTAGGTTTAACCATGGTGAACCATTAGGATTTCCAGAGTCAAAACATTGGAGTTCAGGCTCAGGAATCCCAAAGATGACCGAAACCCCAGAGATGACCAGGGTTTCCAACATGTTTGTTAACCAACAACCACGATACACATAAATGATACAATGCCATGTATGCCATATATAAACACCCATTTATGGCAATATTCTGCAATATAAACTGGTTGGTGGTTTGGAATTTGGAACATGAATTGTATTTTCCATTTCATATATGGGATGTCATCCCAACCCCATTGACTTTCACTCCATCATTTTTCAAGATGGTGAAATTGCACCACCAACCAGATAATATATGGGAACATGTATACATCATTATACATCCACATGGAATATGGATTGAAACCACCGACCAGGTACATATGTGTACTTTCTTATTTAAATCCATGAGCTATCCAATAACCTTATAGGGGGTCACTCATCTTAAGCATCATTTTTGTTGTTGATCGGATCCCCTTGATGATGGCGCCACAGGAAGGCCAAAGAGTCTGCGCGAGAATTGGTGGTGGGTGCAGGCGAGAATTGGAAGTTTACATCTGGGTAAATTCTAATATTTCACTAACCTGAATTAAGGCAATTTAGGGGTAATGTCCCTTATTAATCATGATTCCAGTGACCTCGCAGTGAGGTCGTTTGGTATGTTTTGGGATTGGTTGCTTACTGCTGCTAAACGCAGGGAATTTTCGGGAATGATCCACAATAACTATCAATAATAATCCCATTCCCCCGTTCCCATCCATTCCCTACTAAGCACCAGTAAGGTTGTATGTGGGGTCCCAGTTCGTTAGCTGGCAAGCCTCAAACCTCCACTCCTGGTTCCTCAAAACTTCACTCAATGATCTTTTTATTCGCCAGGTTGCCATTTGAGGTCATCCTCCAAGTTTTGTTTGTTGCTTCAGAACCCTAAAATATGGGGATGGATCAATACCTATTAATACAATTTTTAGGGGAATGAACATCCATTTACCAGCTATTTTGATGTTCACCAGGGGTACAAGGTTTTGACCCACTGCCATATAGATACATCTAACATGTGTACCCTAGCTATTTGAGTTTTTTACCAACCGGCTGAGCTAAGTATGGGGCACCATCTGGTATGTGTGTTGATTTGTTTTTTTCCTATACTACCCTCTGGTAATTTAACATAGCCATTGAAAATGACCATAGAAATAGTGGATTTACCCATTGAAAATGGTGGATCTTTCCCATAGCTTTTTGTAGGTTTACCATGTATCTTAGCTATTCTGGTGGGTTCATATCCTCCAGCATTTGCTTGGTCAATGGAATATCACGGTGATTGGTAAAAATGCCCGTGTTTCTTTGTGAAAAAACTCGCAGTTGCTTGTTATCCTTCATTTTTGTTGGTTTAAAAGAGTTGCCGCATGCCACAACCATATATGTTTGCCTATTTTTTCGGGTGACACTCCTTTCAGTTATGGCCCTTTACCACTTATAGATGGTATAAACGATTATAATAGGGGTTTTCCTAAACTATAACATAGGGTTTTCAATAATTTCACTGACTTCAAACTTAGAACATCTTAGAACAGTGAAAATCTTAACTTTTATTTTCCTGTGAACTTTACTGAGCTATTCATTTTTCGGCCTTCACCTTTTTTTTTGGGGGCGTTCCCCGGTTGACCACCGCGCCAGGCAACGCCACGGCCGTGGGCCTCTCGGCTGCGGGCACCCAGACGTGGCACGCCACGAAGAACGCGCAGCGAAACCTGCGCGACTACGGCGCGGCGGTGCGGCGCACGGCCAAGGACTGGGCGGAAGCGCTGCGGGATCCGGACTGGCGGCAGGCGGGGATGGTTTGGGATGAGAATAGTGGTGGTGTTAATAGTGGTATTGATGGATGTTAATAGATGTTAATAGTGGTGTTAATAGTGGTGTTAAATAGATGTTAATAGTGGTTAATAGTGATTATTGGTGGTGTTCATAGTGGTTATATTTAGATTGGCTTCAGGCGGAGTGGGGTTTTTAAGATGGATTTTTGGGAGATTGGGGGATGGGCGGGTTGGAGTTGGAAAAATGTTTTTTGTTTTCTCCACTTTACCCTCTGGTTATGTCAAAATAGCTATTGAACATGGCCCATTCATACTTGATTTCTCTATTAAAAATGGTGATTTTCCATAGTTATGTTAGTTTACTAGAGGGTAGATAGGGTTGCCCCAATTAAACACAAGGGGGTTAAATCAGTCATTGTATCTGTACATTTTCCCAATTTACCCCACTTGTACCTGGGGTGTTTGGAGCAACCCTGTTGGACATTATTTATATCTATTGTTTTCAAGTAGCATGGGAATTGTACCTGAGAAGCAATTGATGAGACCAACCGAAAAAGTGTAAATAGTTCATGAATGGGTCAATGTTTAAGCATGTTTAAGCCATAGCAAATCACCAACCCACGAATTTTCCAGCGGTTTTGATCGAGGCATTTAGTGTACACAGTGTACTCCCAATTCCGTGTAGGACGATCACGTGTATTCTATTAAGATATAATGTCTGGGAAAATTAGAACGACCTCACTGTTCTCCCGAACCCTGGAATGATGGAATGATGGTTAGTGAGGGAAATCATACCAATATAGCCTTATTTCAGGTTTCTGAATCATTATAATTTGCCCAGAACAATGCAGTTATGGCCATTTATTATAGTTATAAATGTTATAAGTACTAAGAAAACCCCATTTATAGAATGTATAATCCCATAGAAATAACCAGTTATAACTGGTTTTTATGGCCATAACTGTGGAACATAGAGATTCAACCATGAAACTACGTGGGATTTTCTCGCAAGAGACTTACATGAGACACATGTAGCCATCAACGAATCATCAAAACAGGGGGATTGAACCATGGACAAAGGATACAAAGGTGACTTACCCTCTGGTAAACTAACAGTTTGCTATGGAAAACCACCATTTTGTAGCTGGGTAAATCCACGAACTAAATGGCAATGTTCAATAGCTATGTTAAATTACCAGAGGGTAGCAAAATGAAGGTGGTAATCAATCAACCATGATGAACATGATGCAAATATGTCAAATATGTGACCTGTGGTGTTTTTTTTATTGAGGGAACTCAGAGTGTGCAAAAATGTGGTGATATTTCGACCACTAGATTTACATGTACATTCGAAACCCTCTTGAGATATGGAGGTTTCTGGCATGGCATGGCTGGCCTTATCTTTGATTCACTAAGCAAATTCAAAGCCATAACTGGTTTGTGGTTTGGATCATTTTTTATTTTCCATATATTGGGAATAATCATCCCAACTGACCAATATGTTGCAGAGGGATGGCTCAACCACCAACCAGATAAAGATCAAATTCTTGGGCTGTGTTGTCTCATCTTTGGCTGTTGGCTTCCAAACATTCCATCCTGATTTCGCTTTGTCAAAACGACCGGGAACATATAGGTGACATTTCATGGGACACATAGGGGGTTTGTCTGAAAATAGGATGCCTGCCCCTAAATTTGATGGTTGATTAAAGTTGATTATGAATTATGCATTTTCGGGTATACCCCACTTTCAGACAAAGCCATTTTGATACAAGGCGGGGCCCACAAACGATAGCTAAGTTGGTGAACAGAAGTCCAAAAACCATTGGTTTATGGTATATACATGTATATATATAATTCATCATAATTTTATTTATGGTATACCCATAATTCTATTTATGTTACACAAGGTGGTGCCCCCCCAGTTATAAATTTGTTATAAGCCCATTAACTATAGATATATCACCTATAAACCACAGTTATTGGACTTATAAACCAACTTAGCTATCTTGGGGGCACCATCCTGCATCCATAATTCTATAATGAGTTTATAAAGCAACAAACTCGCAGCTTTGGAACATCTTGCTGTCAGGTCCTTTGGAACATCTTGCTGTTGCCAGGACGGGCGTTTACCTTGGGAAAGGGGAGAATGTGATGGGTAGGGAATCCCAGTGATATCCCATTTTTTAATAAGGAAAACATGGAAATTGACATGGTTCAACCATCAAACATGGTGATATATTGGAGATACACTGGAATGTACGGAATGTAATCGACCTCACTGGGTGACAGGATTCATGATGATTACAGATTAGATGGTGAGTCACCCCAACATGACGTCATCTCAGGTTGAATTGAAATGTGCCCGGGATAGCACGACTATGGAACGATCAAATTTCAATGGATTGGTTTCAGGGCAAATTTACAGGAAACCATGGTTTTTACCATTAAATATGGGATTTTCCTGTCAATTTCCCCTAAACCAATCCATTGAAAAATAGATGTTCATGCTTGACTGCTAAATGTTGGGCTCCGCATCATTTTGTGCAGATTGAACGGGTTCATGTGGGTGGGGATGTGACTCATGTGAGCCCAAGTAGCTTTGGTGCCCCCAGTCGGTATGTTTGTAGACTTACCAACTTCGATAACATTATATATCCTCTGGTTATTCAACATAGCCATGGAAAATGGCCCATTTATAGATGGTTTACCTATTACAAATGGTGATTTTCCATAGCTATGTTAGTCATAACCAGATGTTATATAAATCAAACATTAATCGAATTTTGGTTGGTGAAATCCAGATTTTTGCTTACTTGAGTTAGTATATAAATCCTCATTTCTACTAGATGAACACCAATTTCTGTGGCACCACCTTAGTGAAATTCCACCATGTTTCTTGCTTAAATCCGCAGTGAAATCATGGTTTGAAATCCCCTATAAACCAAACAAATTATTGCAATTATGCAGTACTTATTACAGTAACTGGTTGGTGGTTTCAAACATGATTTTTTAATTATTTTCCATTTCATATTAATGGGATATATAATCCTTCACATTGACTTTCACTTCATCATTTTTCAAGATGGTGAAATTGCACCACCAACCAGGTAACTTCGTAGTTATTTTCCGCATTCTGTCCCCATGTTTTTGGTTGTTTAAATCCTCATAAATCCTGGTGTACATCCCCTGGGTCAGCAGCAGGACGACTTGCACTCCAAGGCTTTGGAACTGGGGGATGTGCACAACGTTTGAAGAAGTCTTCCATCATCAGGTGATATCGTGGTTTAACAGTTTAACATACCCTCTGGCAACCTAACATAACTATGGAAAATCACCATGTTCAATGGGTAAATCAACGATTTTTATGGCCATTTTCAATAGCTATGTTAAATTTCGAGAGGGTAATTTAACTATCAAGAAACGTGAGAAATGGTGATTGAACCATGAATCATGGTGAACAAATGGTGGTATAAACATAACAAAACGTGTTTTAACATGGCCCATAGATCATGCAAATGGATGGTATAATGGGCTTTGAGTGGGATCTACTCATCAACTAGTTACGTCATCAGAAAAAAAAATGTGTGGGTTAAGTATCAAACATTGTGAGACAAGTGATGGAACCATCATGATGATTGGATTTACCCATGAAATATAGGGATTACACTACAAAGTGGGGCCCCCTAGATAGCAAAGTTGGTTTATAACTCCAATAACTATGGTTTATTGTACTTATAACAATACTTACTGGGGCTTATAAGCCAACTTAAAACTGGGGGGCCTCACATTGTAGAAATAATGGGGATACTGGGGATGAATGACATATAACATGGTGGAACAGGGCGGTACCGTCAAAAAAATGGGATTCAACCAATGACTGGTAAAAACATGTGTCTGAAACTCAGCCAAAGATACCCCATATTTTCGAGCATCCCTCGTTTGGAGAAATACCCATGTAGACATGGGTCGTATTCTGAGTCAGAGGTTGGAGATTTTGAACGCACCTTGATTCCATATGTGTGAAGCGAAGAGGGCATACATGCTGCATCAAACATGTCAATGTTTCAACCCCACAAAATCTTCCATTTCCTTGTGGCTTGCCTCTGGTAATTCTATGGCGTACGCAGAACATGTCTGGTTGGTGGTTTCAAACATGAATGGATTATTTTCTATTATTATCAATGGGGTTTTCATTCCATAACTGATTGGTGGTTTCAATCATGTTTATTTTCCATTTCATATATGGGATAATCCTTCCCATTGACTTTCACTCCATCATTTTTCAAGATGGTTATTGCACCACCATAAGTAATCGACCATGCCATCCGCCGGCAACATCGACCATCACCAGCTCCTCTCTACTCTATGGTGCAAAACAAATGGCATCTCATGGGCTCCAAACTCCGTTTGATTTCCACAACAACTCAGCGCAACAAGTACTATTTGATGAACAAAACTGGACGTGGCAGAGTCTACTTTGCGCCAGACCCGGCACAACGCTCTCTCGGAAATGAAACACTTGCTCCGTACCGAGAGGCGTCGATTTGCCCGATCCTTGAATTTGCCACAAGGGACAAACAAGGACGTCCTTGTCGACCCGATGGCATTGCTGTGGATTGGGAAGGGCGCAAAAAGATGCAAGTTGTAGTTACATCAGAAAAAAAAAAGTGTGGGTTAAGTATCAAACATTGTGAGACAAGTGATGGAACCATCATGATGATGGGATTTACCCATGAAACATAGGGATTACACTACAAAGTGGGGCCCCCTAGATAGCAAAGTTGGTTTATAACTCCAATAACTATGGTTTATTGTACTTATAACAATACTTGCTGGGGCTTATAAACCAACTTAAAACTGGGGGGCCTCACTTGTAAAAATAATGGGGATACTGGGGATGAATGACATATAACATGGTGGAACAGGGCGGTACCGTCAAAAAAATGGGATTCAACCAATGACTGGTAAAAAAATGTGTCTGAAACTCAGCCAAAGATACCCCATATTTTCGAGCATCCCTCGTTTGGAGAAATACCCATGTGGACATGGGTCGTATTCTGAGTCAGAGGTTGGAGATTTTGAACGCACCTTGATTCCATATGTGTGAAGCGAAGAGGGCATACATGCTGCATCAAACATGTCAATGTTTCAACCCCACAAAATCTTCCATTTCCTTGTGGCTTGCCTCTGGTAATTCTATGGCGTACGCAGAACATGTCTGGTTGGTGGTTTCAAACATGAATGGATTATTTTCTATTATTATCAATGGGGTTTTCATTCCATAACTGATTGGTGGTTTCAATCATGTTTATTTTCCATTTCATATATGGGATAATCCTTCCCATTGACTTTCACTCCATCATTTTTCAAGATGGTTATTGCACCACCATAACTATGGAAAATCACCATGTTCAATGGGTAAATCCACTATTTCTATGGTAAATCACCAGATGTTTGATGCTTTTCCCAGCTGGAAACCTCCATTTTTGATGCGGCGAAGCGCGTTTCCCGCGCCAGCCCACCATGGAGTAGTCAGTTCACCAATCCCCAAAGGATCCTTCAGCGGAGCTGGTGCCACCCAGCCGGGCTGGGCGTTTGTTGATGACAGACTACCATAATCTATCATAAATCAAGGGAAATATATAGGAAAACATAGGAAATATAGTAACTTCCATAAATCATCATACATCATCAGTCAACATCAGATAGTGTGGATTTGTGATTTATGATGATTAGTATAGGTGGAGTGTCAATCAAAGATTATGCCCATGAAAATCAGTGAATGACACATCTACCATAAACCAAAAAACGTTGGTTAGTGTAGGTGTCAGCGCCATCTACCACCAGCTGCGGCATGCTGCTTCCTCATTGCGACTTGAACTGGAATTTGTAGGGCTTCAGGGTTGGTTAAGATGGTGAAAATCAATGGTTTTGCTCACACAAGTGGTGAAACAATGTGGGGTTACGAAGTTTTACTAGCACGTACTAACAAAAAATATGAGACAGAGTGTTTTTTCATGGTTTTACCCGCAATAAATCTGAAAAGCAGGCACTCAACCAGCATGGTTTTCGCGAACTTACAACAAATAAAATGCGGTAGAACCCGAATTCAGTGTCATTTCAACCAGGAAAAATATGATGGCATCGCCTGGTTCGCGTTTTGGTTCATGGAGACGGTTTCCGTGGGACATTCATGACCTACAGTTTTTTAGCAGTGAAAGTGAGTTATAAATGGTTATTTTTTATGGTTATCAATGGGGTTTTCATTCCATAAATGGAGTTTTCATTCCAAAACTGATTGGTGGTTTCAATCATGTTTATTTTCCATTTCATATATGGGATAATCCTTCGCATTGACGAACTCATATTTTTCAAGATGGTTAAAATCACGAACCAGATAAAGTGTTCATTCCATAAATGGGGTGACTTACTGACTTCCTGACTTATAACTGGTAATTAAGGGGCCAAAACTCTAGGAAAATCGTCTGAGTCGTCTGATCCTAACCATGGCAGGGGATAGCAGGGGTGCTGTATATCTGGGTAAATGCCATAACGAGCTCACTGGGACCGAGCCCTGGTTCATCATGGTTTATTTTAGGGAAATCATCCCCAAATAGCCCAAGAATTCAGGTTAGTGAAATATTACAATTTACCCAGATGGATGGTCCAGTCCATTGCTATCTGCTTGGGAAGGAGCCTTAAGCAACTCAAATCGGGGGTATCCATATTCCCGACAAAAAATGGAATGCATATTGGAGCTACTGGGAGTTTTTTTTCAAAGACTTTGAGGATCACCCCACCTAACTGGTCAAGCTATCATTTTTTTAACGTTGAAATGAACCACTACAGTTGAAGCCCGAAATTGACCAATGATTTCTATATGGTTGTGGATTAAATGGGAATGTCATAAACATTCATAAACCATAAATGGAATTATAAATCACTGACTTACAAACAGTACACCATAAACCATTTCTAAACCATAAGCCATAAATGGAATCACAAACATTCATAAACCATAAACCATTCATACGCCAGTTATGACTTATAACTGACTTATAACTGGTATATAACTGGCCATATTTGTAGGATGATCCCCCAAGTATCGGGTAGTGGTATATACATCCTTCGGTGGCAGTTCGCCAGTTCATCACTATGGAGTTTGATTGCGAAATATCAGTCAGTAGATATCCCCATGTACGGCTGTTTTTTTTCCCCTCTTTTGGCATCAAAACTGGTCAAACGTCTAAAAAAAAGTGTATTGCCAGATGTGCATCCGTTCAGAATGTTGGCAATATACTCGCAACATCATATCTGGTTGGTGGTTTGAAACATTTTTCATTTTTCCATCTGTTTGGAATTTCATCATCCCAACTGACGAAGTCATATTTTTCAGAGGGGTAGGTATACCACCAACCAGTATACCACGAAGCTTATCCTGGATTTACGGAAGATCTTGTGAACTATTTCCCATTGGTCAGTTCACCATGGCTGGGAAGGCTAATGAAAAATATGTTTATTTGTTGAATTGTCTTCCCTATATCAAACTCCAAAAAGATAGAAACATGATTTATCACTATTTCAGTAGGATTTCACTTTTCTAGTTTTGTTGTTTTTCCCGAGAGCGTTTGAGCGAAGGATCTTCTAATAGTGGAGGTCTGCTATACATCTTCACATGTTCACATCTTCATCACATCTTCCTCACATCTTCATCACATCTTCATCACATCTTCATCACATCTTCATCACATCTTCATTATCTATCCTTCTCCCCCCCTCTCTCTCTCTCTATCTCTCTCTCTCTCTATATCTCTCTCTCTCTCTCTTCTCATCTTCTCATCTTCTCATCGTCACATCTTCTCATCTTCATCACATCTTCATCACATCTTATCATCTTCACATCTTCACATCGTCTCATTTTCACATCTTCATTCTCTCTCCTTCTCCCTCTCTCTCTCTCTTCTCATCTTCTCATCTTCACATTTTCTCATATTCATCACATCTTCATCACATCTTCATCACATCTTCATCACATCTTCATCACATCTTCATCATCACATCTTCACATCGTTTCATCTTCACATCATCATTATCTATCCTTCTCCCTCTCTTTCTCTCTTTCTCTCTCTCTCTCTCTTTCCCTGCTCTCTCTCTCTCTCTCTCTCTTCCTCTCCCCCTTGCCCTCTGTTATGGTCTCTCTCCTTCTTTTCTCTTCTCTCTTTAGGCCACGGGCGGTGCCGACGAGGTGCCACAAATGGCCACCCTTTCGCACGAAATGAGGTTCGATCGTCAAAAACTGAGGGTTTTTCTGCGAATTTGGTTGGTCCTCTTGAAGGGTCTGTGTGCAAAGGGTTCGGTGAGTTCTGTGTATAAAAGCTTCTGTGTGTAAAAGCGTCTGTGTGTGTAAAAGCTTCTGTGTGTAAAAGCGTCTGTGTGTGAAAGCTTCTGTGTGTAAAAGCTTCTGTGTGTAAAAGCGTCTGTGTGTAAAAGCTTCTGTGTGTAAAAGCTTCTGTGTGTAAAAGCTTCTGTGTTTAAAAGCTTTTGTGTGTAAAAGCGTTTGTGTGTAAAAGTTTCTGTGTGTAAAAGCGTTTGTGTGTAAAAGCGTCTGTGTGTAAAAGCTTCTGTGTGTAAAAGTGTCTGTGTGTAAAAGTGTTTGTGTGAAAAAGCTTCTCTGTGTAAAAGCATTTGTGTGTAAATGCGTCTGTGTGTAAAAGCTTCTCTGTGTAAAGCATCTCTTTGCAAAAGCTTCTGTATGTATGAGCGTCTGTGTGTGCACGTGTACAAGTGCTTGTGTGTAAAAGCTTCTGTGTGTAAAAGGTTCTGTGTATTAAAACTTCTGTGTGTAAAAGTGTCTGTGTGTAAAAAACGTCTGTGTGTAAAAGCGTCTGTGTGTAAAAGCGTTTGTGTGTAAAAACTTCTCTGTGTAAAAGCGTTTGTGTGTAAAACTGTCTGTGTGTAAAAGTTTTTGTGTGTAAAAACTTTTGTGTGTAAAAGTGTCTGTGTGCAAAAGCGTCTGTGTGTAAAAGCGTTTGTGTGTAAAAGTTTCTGTGTGTAAAAGCGTTTGTGTGTAAAAACGTTTGTGTGTAAAAGCATCTGTGTGTAAAATCTTTTGTGTGCAAAAACTTATGTGCGTAAATGTGTCTGGGTGTAAAGGCGTTTGTGTGTAAAGGCGTCGGTGTGTTTTTTTTGGTTCGGTGGTAGGTGCTTCTTATGTGTACCGGGTACCTACTTTTCACAACATGTCTGCACCATGTCTCTTCATTTTAGGCATCATCGTATATGTCTATATTTTTGTTTCATGCTATGAGATCTTCATACTTATACCTCTCACCATGTTCCTCTTCGCTCTCGGGCCATCCGTCGTCTAGTTTTTGAGGGTTGCTACAAGCGTATGTGAGTTTTCGCACCCAACAAAAACGTATCATGACTTGGTACACCCTCCTCGTCCGGCCCACTTCAGGCATCAAGCATGTTCAGCTGCGCTGCAGAGAATGAAGCGAACCAGTCACAGATGGTGGAATATTTTCAGGCGATTTCGGTGATGTTTTGATGTGTCGAAAAATCAGGGAATACCCAGATTCCTGGCCACTTGCCACTAGGGAAATTAATGACAAAATGCATTGGGTTTTGGGGTTCCCCTATGTTGAGACAAAACAACAGATGTGCTTTTGGGAAAGTGTGGGCCAGTGCGGACCCTCTATTGGAAAAACCAAGTTATGATAGTTATGATCATTTACTATTAAGATATACCTCTGTGAATATGGAGGTTTCCATAAATGGGGATACCCTAAAATTGATGGTTTACAAATGGAAAATCCTATCAAAATTGATGATTTGGGGGTACCCCCATTTGCGGAAACCCTCATATGAATTTCGCAGTTGGGATATGAAACACGATGATGTGAGTTAGTCACAGCTTGCCAGTCAGCCTTGTATTGATCACCCATTGGATCCTCCATTGCGCGGCTGAGACAACCCAAGCTAAGAGAGTTCACGCCAGGACGTTCCCATAGATGTTTAGGATTGGGGTTACCATTTGGGTTTTCATGGTCATAGCTATGTTGTTGTCATTAAAAGCGTCAGACCCACAGTTTTTTTACCCTTTGCCAGTTTTACATAAATTGGTTTACAGTTATGGCCATGGCTACCAGTTATAACTGGTTATTTCTATGGGATTATACATTCTATTTCTATGGGGTTTTGTTAGTACTTATAACTAATAGCCATGGCCATAACTGTAGGTTTATAACTGTAACTATGGGGTAACAAGGATTCATGGTAGATATATTGAACTAGTAACTAGTTTTCATGGGGTTGAAACCAACTTGGCTTAAAAAAAGAGCACCTTCTTGTGGTATGGCCATAACTGCATTGTTTAGATTGCTATAATCGGGCCATTCCATTTTTATGTGGTGACTATTGGTGACCACCAGAGCTGGTACTGGTACTTCACGCGCCAGCTGGTAGCAAGCACCAGATCCAAATAGCTGGTTCAACGGTAGACCTGAAAATTATGGGGGAGACATCATCTATAATTTATTAAAACATCTGAAACATGGTGGATTTTTTTATGATTTATATATGATTTACATGATTTATTAACGTCCTGGGAAAAGGCTTCGGCATCTTTCGGCAGCTTGATGAACAGTTGGAATTCGACATTCGAAGACCAGATCCTGGGAAACCAATGAGTTCATGGTCTGACATATCACATTTTTTCTGCTGACATATGGGAATGGATCAATACCTATTAATACCATTTTTAGTGGGATGAACATCCATTTACCAGCTATTTTGGGGTTCACCAGGGGTACAGGGTTTTGACCCATCCCCATATCAGCATTTTTGTTGGTAGAATCTCCATTGTTGGTTCAATCCTTGGTGAGTACAATGTCAATTTCACCTGTCAATGGATTGGTTTTGTTGGGAAAATCTTCACCGGAAACCCATGGGTTTTTACCATCAAATATAGGGTTTTCCGGTTAAAATTTTCCCATCATCCAATGTCAATTTCACCTGGTGAAGCCACATGTTCAGGATTCGCAATTGAGTGTTTGTCGGTGCGTCTGATGGCAAGACCAGTCAGAACGATTGCTCCAGGGTCCGTACGCGCCATGCTTAAAAGATTAATTTAGAAAAAACAGCAACCGTGGTAACTGGTCATTGGATGGTTCAATCTTTTTTTTGGAGATTCTCATGGATTAAAAACAGCAACCGTCCCACCATATTGGGGGATTTTCATCCAATTCTCATCGGGATTTTTTGATGAAACCATGATGTTTGGGTTCCCATGATGGGATGGATGGCCATAGACCAATTAAACCTCTGGTCATGACTAACATAGCCATGGAAGCCATGGCCCATAGAAATAGATGGTTTACCTGGGTTTACCTTTTAAAAAATGGTGATTTTCCATGGCTATGTTAAATAACCAGAGAGTATACATATTTTTTGACCGTGGCACATATGTTAACTGGGATATATATATATATAGCATGATATTCCCTACAATGTGGGGCCCCCTAGTTAGTTATAAGTCATATATTTATTGGAGTTATGTTCACCAACTTAGCTCACTATGGGGCCCCACGGCCTGTACCTTAAGCTATTGGAAAGTGGCATCCCATCGCACCAAGACGCGACGTTTTTCGAAGCCTGGTCACCCTGTTCCTGGTCCCTTGAAGTGCATCCCATGGTCCTATTTTGCCTTGCCAAGTCACCATGGTTTCAACATTGATTTGTTGTTTAGTTTAATCATTTGTGCGACAACCTGTAGGTCATATATAGATATATATCATATGATTGTAAATTGTATGATGAAGTTTTTTTTGTATAAATATAAATTATAAACATTGAATATACATCAAGCGCAGTCTGCCAACACCCCATTGCTCCAGGATGCGACAGCTACAAAAAAGCGACGACAAGAGCAACGACGCAGTCGCGGCACCGCGGCGACAGCTTCGCTGGCCGTGGCAAAAGGAGGTCTCGGTCGAAGCGACGCAGGCACCGGGCCGAGACATCAGGGTGGGTTGATTTTTTGTTGGACCAATGAAACCTCTGGTTATGACTAACATAGCTATAGAAAATTTAGAAAATCACCATTTTTACAAGGTAACTCAACCATAAATCAAGGATTAGCCTTCTGGTTATGACTAACATAGCCATGAGAAATGGCCCATAGAAATAGATGGTTTACCTGGGTTTACCTATTAATAGCATGGTGATTTTCCAGTTCGCTATGTGAAATAACCAGATGGTGTGCCCTATATGGATCCACCAAGTAATGTCAACCCCGGATTAATAAACTCCGTTTACGGCTGTTTAATTGGGAGGCTACCATTTTAGTAGCCATAAAAAATCACAAAAATTGGGGTAACCACCACTTTTAATGAATCAACCAGGGTTTAGCAAAATCCGGGGTTGACATTAGCTTCTCAGGATGTATATTTTGGGTTATGATTTGGATCCACAGGGCCGCAGGGATGAGATATTGATGGATAGTCGATGATAATGGCATGTAAAAATGGTTGTAATCAATGACCATGCAACAGGAACCGATTGATTGGAGGTACCTACCATATGTAAGGTCGAAAAATAAGGCCTAAATTTCAGGGGATATCCCCACAAAATATGGCCTTATATGGTACAGTACCTCTATATATTGGATCCTGAAATTCCCACTGATGTAATGATGGATAAACATGAACCAAACATGGATAAACATGGGATGATAATGGAAACAACGTTGAAAACGTTGGACCCCAAACACGTCTCATGTTTTGAAGGTTTTTGATACCCTCTGAAGATGAAGCCCTGTACCGGTTCTAAATGGTTAATGGTTACAAATGGGGTTATCAAAAGCATCTGAAAAATCAATAAATAATGGTTGTAATAATGGAGTATTGATGGAATATGAGTGAATGGGATATCAAGTATTAGTTAATATTAGTAATATAGTAATATTTTAGTACTAATATAGTTATATTACTATCCAGTATTAGTACTATTATTAATGGTTGTATATATTAGTTCATGGATAGTAATATAATTAATATAGTAATGGAATATCAATGGATTTACCCTTTGATGCAAACATGGCGATTTCCAAGGAAATCCCGGCCTAGCCATGGAGGTTTCGTTCGCGCCAACGATGTTTGAATACCAGAGGGTAACCCCGACAGCCAGCAAATTTGTGGACCATGTGTTATTCGATCATTGCTGGATAATATAGATGCACATCAAGTACACAAGATGCGTGTAATCGTCAAAAACTGGGCTACGGACGGCTGTCATTAGCTACCAACACTTACCCTGTGGTAATCGTGGAAATGGAAAACCACCCATTTTTAGATGTTGTTTCCCAGCGAACGAAACCTCAATGGCTAGTTCGACGATGTCTCCATGGTGAAATTTCTGGTCTCTCAAGAGGCTGCAGGGAGCACCATGGAGCATATGGGCATGGTTATAAACTCACATGTTTGTTGGGATATAACCCCTGTAACTATGATTATATCCACTTATATAGTTCACTGAAATTGCACGACGAGGTGGTGCCCCCAAACCGCTATTACCCCCTTAACCAGTTTGATATATCCACCATAAACCCTACAGTGAAAGCCCTTTACCAGCTATTCATATGAGTGCTCATATGGTTATAAATGGTTCTACATAAATGGGATTATCAGTTAATAAATGAGGTTACTTATTGACTTATAACTGGCAAAGGACCACACAATCTGGGGCCCCCTAGTTATAATTTGTTTGTAAGCCCCATGAATACTATAGTTATTCGTGTATCATAAACCATAGTTATTATAGTTATAAATTAACCAACTTAGCTATCATTGTAGGCATGAACTGTAGATTGTGTTAGTTTTAACGAGTCGGGGCACCACCTTGTAGAACTGGCAAACCTGGTGTGGTTGCCTGGCCCGGTTTACGAACCATTTACGAACTCTCTAAGTTGGTGAACATCAGTCCAAACACCATTGGTTTATGGTACAGCTTGTATATCTATGGTTTATGGTATATCCATAATTCTATTTATGGTATATGGGGGTTTTCATAGTCATAGGGCCATAGGGTTACCCCATTAGCTGGATGGTTTATTCCATGGAAAATCCAACTAAAAATGGATGATAACTGGGGGTACCCCCCTCCCGTTTCAGGAATTGTTACAAGACAAGCCCGGGATTGTAACTAGCCCACAGGAGTGTTGAAGTTTCCTTACAATCACCTATTTCGTTGTTTGTTTGCTTACCCTCTGGTAATTTAACATAGCTATTGAAAATGGCCATAAAAATCGCTGACTTACCCATTAAAAATGGTGATGTTCCAGTTCGCAAACTGTGAGTTTACCAGAGGGTATCTGGTTGGTGATTTGGAACATGAATTTTATGACTTTCCATATATTTGGAATGTCATCATCCCAGCTGACGAACTCCATCATTTTTCAGAGGGGTAAGTATAGCACCAACCAGATTGTGTTATCCAAAGTTTTTCAATATTCTTATAGTCATCCCCAAATAGATGGAAAAGTAAATCACCATGAAATTAGTAGTGAACCAGTGACACCTCCCTCATGGCACCAGCGTCATCCCCCTGATTCCCCATGAAATATACCCACAGAATCCATAGAATATATCAGGATTATACCCTTTCCATTGAACACCCCCATAAGACAACATAACAAAAAAAAGCAAACTCTTGGTTGCACAAACTTGTTAACGAACATATGTTCCCAATTTATTATCACCACACTCATCGCTATATCATTCATAATATCTCATAAGAAAATAATCACACTCATCCTTACAATGTGGGGCTCCCAAACGTTATAAATTGGTTTATAAACCCCATTAATACTATAGTTATTTGCGTCCATAGTTACTGGAGGTATGTTCACCAACTTAGGTATCGTTTGGGGGCCCCACATTGTATGTTTGTTGTTGATAAACCATTATATAACCATAATTATAAGTACCATAAACCGTAGCTATTAGAGTTATTAACCAACATAGCTATAGTTATTCATCTTTTATCATAGTTGAGATCCATCTATGTCAGGTGCCTTGGTGGAAGCGTATCTTGCCCAAGAAGCCACAAGCTGCGGAGCAAAAGATGCGGCTTCTTTTTCTCGGTGGATGGGAAGATGGGTCGAAGTCTGCCCTGGAAATCTATAGAAAACTTAGAGTTGATGGATTTTGGCTAGATCTTGCTGATTTTTTTAGGAGGAATCATGATGAATCATTGAATTTGTGTGTGTGCAAAAACTTTGTCTATACCCGAATGTGATGGGGAACCCATTTTTGACAGCGTGGCTTATCAATTGAATCAAATACCTTTAATCATGTTGCAACGACCCGCAAGGCTCTCCCTTGGGGTATCGCGCACATAATGCGCTCACTGTCCGAGTGTTGGTGTGTAATACTCCGCTGCGCAGTTGAGGTGTCCACAATAACATTACCATCTGGTAATTTGACGCAGCTACTAAACATGATCATTTATAGTTGATTTAGCTATTATAGATGGTGATTTTCAGTTATAGTTGATTTAGCTATTATAACATGGTAATTTAATGTCATTTAACTATTAATTTTCCATAGTTTTTGTAGGTTTACCAGAGGGTAACAATACCAATGGCGGACAGAGCGCCATCATGCCATGTCCCTCAGGTCCTAGGCGAGCTTTTCTGCATCTTTCTGCCGTCAAGTTGGATCCAGTCCTGGGGAATCGATCCATTTTTGTGAAAAGATGGATGATTCTAATGGTTGAAACCATGATTGAAAAAATTGGTGGTTGAAAATCCTATCAGGGTTTAATCATGGATATACTATGATATACTACATTAAATAAATATAGATTAGGTGACCAACTTTCCACTGAAATAGGTTAAATATGTGTTTTCATGAAATAATCCAACAATAGATTAGGTTAAATTCTATAATTTGGTTTATCCACTTTCATAAGTCCAATTGGGGCGATGGACATAAATTCCGGAAAAAAAAAAACGGAAACATGTGGCGCCCCGTAGTTTCTATTTGGGTTATACTTTTATAAACCCCATTAGCGATAGCTATATCTATCTATATCTACAAGAAACCCTTAAGTTATTGGAGTTATGTTCACAAACTTAGCTAGCTATGGGGCACCACCTTGTGATGTTTATCTATACCCAGGATGTGTGGATTACCATGAACTGGGATGACCCAAACGCACATATTACATATTACAATGCGGAGCCCCCGGTTACGATAGCTAAGTTGGTGCAAATAACTCTAATAATTTTTGTTTATGATACTTATATCTTATAACTATAGTATTATTCTAGCAATTTCTTGCCCATATTCCAGGGCCGAACATATTCCATGCCAAAATAGCTGGGAAATTTCAGGGAATTGCGAAGACCCCTTTCAGGTGAAATTTGTATTTCATACAGTTTGCCAAGTATTCCTTTTCTTCTGGCACGTACGTTGTCGACTGCACATGTTCTTCCCCAAAGAAGATCCTTACTTTCAACAATTTCTGGAAATGTCATAATTAAAAATGTTGAGCTTTCCAAAAATGGATTAATACTGTTCTTATGGAAATTTGTCATCTACACTTTTCACGATCCCAAAACCCAATTCATAAGCTTTAAGCTTATGTTCTGGCACGCTTGGCTGGCCTTTCATCAGCAGCGCCATCCCCATCTTTCTTGACATCTTTGTGGCCCCGCAAAGAGCTCTGCACAACAGGATCTGGGAACACAAATCATCGACGATCCTGTTTTCTTCCGTGCAAAATAATTCCACCGATAGAGTACGATGCCACCCCTGGAGTGCGCTAATTTTCTGGAATGCGAAAATAAAACAGTATGCGTGGCCCCCTTCGACCTTCCCCATGAATCCAACACCAGTTTTTTCCATCATATACCAGAAAATTATCACATTTCACCCTGCTGAGCTTTTTTTTTCTTTTTTCTTTTTTTTTTTTTGGCCAAAATTGCCTGGAATGCGATAGTATGTGCAACTACAGACGTCTCACGAAAAACCGCTACCTTTCCCATATTCCAGAAAACGTGATTCCAGGCGATTTTAGCCACAAAAAAAAAAAACGAAAAAAAAAAAAGAAAAAAAAACGAAAAAACGAAAAATTACCGAGTACGAAGATTTTATGGAGTGCGAAGATCTTGCAGAGTGCGTGGATTTTATAGTATGTGCGCGTCCCTAGCTGTGGAGTGCGATGTCCCATGTGGAGTGCGAAGAATTTGTGGAATGCGAAGAATTCCGAGTATGCGTGGCTGGTATAGAGACCACATAGGGAAATTTCGCGGCCAGAACCAAAATTCCAATCCCAAAGCCGGCCCAAACTTCCAGGGGCACACCAGTGGGTTCTATTTTTCCAAGTTCACCTTGGGTGAGGTCCCGGGGAAGAAACTTGCTAATTTTTACTTAGCCAACCTTTAAAAACGTTACCTTTGACAACCCTGTCCTTCTTCTGTAGACAAATGAGGAAACTTCCTTATCAAAGCAGCCTTCAATTCATTCAACGTCCACAGCTCCTTTGGAACGACATAGGGGATAGAAAGCTGTGGAGGGGCATTCAATGGATTCGCCGTGGGCCAACTGTTCCCTCCAGATTGAGCTGAAATGCCTATCAAAGTAACATACCAAAACCCAGGTCTGGAGTACGATGAAAACATGGTATGCGAAGATTTTCTGAATATGGGAATGTTGCCTTTAGAATTATAGTCTTCATGGGGTTTACGAACCAACAAACATAACGTAAACGGGGGCCCCACTGTATGTAATTGGGCAAGGTTTGATTTTTTGGACCTTTTTATTTCCGAGACCAGTGATGCCATAGGCTATGGGTTCAGGTTCCCAAAGCATTGTCAAGCCATGCCCATGTTCAGACACATCCATCTAAATCCCATATATCCCATCTAGATTCAGCTTGACTACTTTGACTACTTGAACCTTGTATGTAGATTATGTAGTGACTGTTGTCACTGCGCGCAGCTCTTAGTCTTAGTCGGTTCGGAACGATCCACCCCAAGTTTGCACCGCATGATAGTTTGTGTCTAATAGGATTCCACACAGTTGGAACATCAAGCCGCTGACTCTGGCTCGTTGCATGTTTTGTCATCAGTAGCTGAGTAGCTGGTTCGAAAAATGGCGTGCGACTGGTTACAACAAGTTTCATGTGTCAACGTCACATGACTCTCTCCAAAGACTTATCTTTTTCAAAGGCTTAACGCAACCAACACAAAATCCTGGAAGCGGGAGTAGTGGATCTTTTTGGACTTGGATGGCTTTCCAGATTTTTTCTCCACAAAAAGTTCTGTTTTTGTTTCAGGTGATCGTACATCGCTAGCCATGGAGGTTTCCTTCCTCTTTTCATGTGAGATTGCGGTAGTTCTTGAGGCAGCTGAATTTGAAGGTCAATCAGTTACCTGGATTTCATGGAGGAGAAACATTTTTTTAATACCCTCTGGTTATTTAACATAACCATGGTATAGATGGCCCATAGAAATAGATGGTTTACCTATTAAACATGGTGATGTTCCATGGCTATGTTAAATAACCAGATGGTAATAGGATTTTCAAGCAACAACATATGGGGATAAAGACTTAAAAACAGTGATCAACCATGATATTTATCAACTGGGATGACCTAGATATGCTGAGTACATCATTTTTGATGTTCTGCTAGTTTAACCATTGGAGAATCCATTGTTTTGGAATCTATTCGTAATACCCTCTTGTTATTTAACATAGCCATGGAAAATGGCTCATTTATAGATGGTTTACCTGGGTTTACCTATTATATTATAAATTATAAACTGTATTTTCCATGGCTATGTTAAATAACCAGATGGTATGTCCTATTCTGCTTCACCTCTAAGCCAAGGTGAAGTGTTTGAAGAGATCCTTAGGATCTCAGCTTGGGATCACGCGATTTCGGCAGAAACTTTTCGTGGACGATGGATCACGTGAGCTGTCTGATGATGAGATTTTGTTCGCTTCAGCGGACCTGAAGATTCAGTTGGTGATTTTAGAGTTTTTGCCAGCTGATACTGGAGAAGATGCAAAGATGCTAATGGCAGCCCGAAAGAACGATTCTTGGAGTTACAGAGTTGTTTTGTTTTGCCCAAGGGGAAGGTAGCCGTTTGGAACCTAGACCCTGAAAGTAATCATAGTTTGATGTATATTGGTGTACCATTCCAAAATCACAGTAAGTTTAGACTGTTTCCTGAGTTTTGATGGTTCAATTGAGGGCAAAGGTATATGTTATATGGGTTTGTCTCAAAACAGGCTAAACCAAATGATTCTGGTCAATCATCATAGTCCCTATTTTAAGATGCCACTGGATTGTGTGGCTACCGTTTTGATGACACCCATGTCCATTCTTCATTGATTAAATCACAATTCTTACTGGCTAAGTCACCATGTTTCACATTCTTTGCTTGCAAAACCATGAATGTTCACCGTTGTTTGCAGCCCTTTCAGCAGAAAAAAACACAACACATGGCAAAATCATGCCAAATCGCAATTCGTGATGGTTAAAACCCCTCACTTCTCCATACTTTTCCCAGTTATTTGTTGCTTCAGCCACCCTTTTTGCCCAGTCTCCCAGGACCTCTGCGCCCTGGAGAAGCTGCTTCAATCGCCTCGGCATCCAATGGCGCCAGACGAGGAAGGCTACACGGCGGTGCACGAGGCGGCAGAGTGTGGCCATCTCGAGGCCTTGCAGTTGCTGCTGGAAGCGCGGGCAGAGGTGGATGGCACAGGCAGTGGCTTATCTGGCATGTGGTTTGGAACCATGGAATTTTATGACTTTCCACCAACATCCACCAAGTATCACATAAAATAGATATAGATTTTTAATATAGATATACATAATCTGGTTGGTGGTTTGGAACCATGGAATTTTATGATTTTCCTTATAATTCCATTCAGTTGGGAATTTCATCATCCCAACTGACTTTCACTCCATCATTTCTCAAAGGGGTAGGTATACCACCAACCAGTTATCCATTCTCCGGTGACGATCCATTCGTGGTGACCAGCGGTGTGTCGGGTTTGTGAGTTATGATGAGTGGCTAGTTGGTTCATACCATTGGCTCCAACAGCTACAATGTGGGGCATCCAAACGTTCTAATGTGCTTTGTAACCCCCATGAAGACTATAGTTATTTGATGTTATTTGCATATATCATAAACCATAACCGTAGTTACTATAGTTAAGTTATAAACCAACTTAGCGATTTCGTAAACGGGGGCACCACATTGTACCCTTCGGGAATTGTGG